CACCCAGGGGTGGGGTTCAGAGGCCGGGGGTTGGGCCCCCGAGGCCATCCCAAACTGACACGCTCTCTACCTGCCACCCCCGGGCAGCGGGCAACGCGGGCATGGCGGCCGCCTATGCCGCCAGGAGGCTGGGCATCCCCGCCACCATCGTCGTGCCCAAGACCACGCCCATCCTCACCATCGAGCGGCTCAAAAAAGAGGGCGCCGAGGTCACGGTGAAGGGCGAGGTGAGTGCCGGCCTGGAGCTGGGCTGGGGGGGGGGGGGGGCAGTGGGTGGCGGAGGAGGGTGCCTCGGCCGCTCACCTCCGCCCGCGCCTCCCGTGGTCTTGCAGACGCTGGAGGAGGCCCAGGAGCTGGCCACGGCCCTGGCGAAGAACCCCGGCTGGGTCTTCATCTCCCCCTACGACGACCCCCTCATCTGGTACATGGAGCCCAGGGTGGCAGCCGCCTCCTGACCACTGGGTGGGCGCCTGCCACAAGGCACGTGGGCACACTCTCATGCACAGAGGTAGCACACGTGTGTGTGTGTGTGTGTGTGTGCGCGCGCGCACACACACCCTCACCCCGAAGCACACACACGTGTGTGTTCCAACGGCCGTCCTCCATGGCCGTGAGCAATTGCGAGCTCAGATGCCCAGGTGCTGGCCTCTGGGTGCCGGGGAGCAGGTCCCGGGAGCAGGGCTCCGGGGAGAGCTGTTGGCTTGGGAGGTGATTCCCGAGCATCAGGAAGGGGATGGGGGACGCGGCAGGAGAGACGCCTCTCAGGGGTGCTCTCCTGGGCAGGGCCCTGCAGTAGCAGCTGGATCTTGATTTCCTGGGACCCCTGAGAGCCCGGGGAACGTGAAGTGGTTACTCAGCAGGAGAGGATGCTGGGAGTTTATTCAAAGGTGAACCAGTTACTCGGCGGCAGGAGAGGATGCTGGGAGTTTATTCAGTGGAAGGTGAACCAGTTACTCGGCGGCAGGAGAGGATGCTGGGAGTTCATTCAGTGGAAGGTGAACCAGTTACTCCGCGGCAGGAGAGGATGCTGGGAGTTCATTCAGTGGAAGGTGAACCAGTTACTCGGCGGCAGGAGAGGATGCTGGGAGTTCATCCACCCGCACACCAGTCTTCACTCACACAGGCCCTGGGCGAGGGGTGTTCTCAGGGCTGAGAACAGCCAGGAGTCACACACACAGAGGCAGCTCCTGGAGCCCACGGGAGCTTCCGGGCAGAGATGCAGATGCTGGCAGCTGGGAATCAGGGTGGAGTCGGGGAGGAGGCCAGCCCCAAGGACAAGCCACAGAGCTAGTGGTATCTCCAGGACCCCTGCCTAGTGCCCCCAGGGCCCCAGCCCTGACCGGGTCCCCCCCTCCCCTCGACCCCCATCCTCCAGGGAAGGCCACACGTCCATCGTGAAGGAGCTGAAGGAGACCCTGAGCGAAAAGCCCGGGGTCATCGTGCTGTCGGTGGGCGGCGGCGGCCTCTTGTGCGGCGTGGCCCAGGGGCTGAAGGAGGTGGGCTGGGGGGACGTGCCCATCATCGCCATGGAGACCGAGGGAGCCCACAGCTTCCGCACCACCGCCTCAGCCGGCAAGCTCACGCCCCTGGACCGGATGACCAGGTGAGAGAGGACCATCAGGGGTTCAGCAGCCCCCTGGTGCTGGCTGCAGGTAGATCCCAGTGCCCCATTTTATAGATAGGGAAACTGAGGCTGCCCAGAGCCACACAGCCAGTGAGCGGTCCTGCTGGGACTGAGCCCGTGTGTGCATGGCCCTGAACCATGAACCTCACACTTCCTCTTGCAAAAAAGACTAATATTCATCTGAGTTCCTCTGTGGCAGGGTTTTGCACTCTTCATTACATGTTTTAATATATATCTTTATTGATCTCAGCAAGGAGGGGAGAGTGAGAGACAGAAACATCAATGGTGAGAGAGGGTCATCGATCGGCTGCCTCCTGCACACCCCCCTAATTGAGCCCACATTCCGGGAATCAAACCGTGCCCTCCTGGTTCATAGGGGGATGATCAACCACGGAGCCACGCCAGCTGGGCTGCACACTTCATTCATTTGCCAGCCACTTCCTGAGCCCCTAACCATGGGTGAGACCCTGGCTGACCCCGGGGAGAGAGGCGGATAGACGCCGCTCCTGCTCCCAAGGAGTTCACATCCCAGCCCAAACCTTTGGCACGTGGTGTTCAATTAGGATCAGGTTGGGCTGCTTTATACAAAAACCCAAAAAGCCATTTAAACAAGATTGAATTTTATTTCCTCTCTTATGAACAAAAGAAAAGCCTAGAGGGAGGCAATCCAGGGGCAGTTCTAAGAAGCCAGGGGCCCAGGTCCCCTGCGTTTGTTCCCCGCCATCCTTAGCGTGTTGCCTCATGGGCCAAAAGGGCTGCCTACGTGCCAGCTCTCACACCCACCCTCTCTCTCTAGCAGGAAGGGGGAACCAGGGCAGAAGCTATGCCCTTCCCTTTAAAGGCAGACACAATACTTCTGCTTTCCTCTCCTTGGCCAGAGCTTAGTCACATGGCCACACCTGCTGCAAGGGAGGCTGGGAAATGTCTTCCTACCAGGTGTCCCTGAGTGCAGCTAGAATAGATGTAGGGTAGACAGGTCTCTGCCACTGATGGGGCAGACTGAGCCCAGGTGGAAACTCGTTCTGGATTCCTGAGCCCAGCACCCCGGAGCTGTAGGTGGTGGGAGTGAAGGAGTCATTGTTGAGCACCTACTATGGGCCGTGGGCTGGCCTAAGGGCTGGCTGAGGTGGTCCGGGCAAGGAGATGCTCGTGGGCGAGTGGGGAAATGAGCGGGGAACGGAGCCAGTGGGGTCTCCGGGGAGGCTGATTGCCAGGGCAGGTCCTGGAGGTATACGGGTCCTGTTTGCAGTCCCAGCATCACGACTCCCTGGCCAAGTGCCAGCACACACCCTGCCTCAGCCTTCCCTTCTATAAAATGGAACCAACCACAAAAGTTGTTGTGAGAATGAACGGCACCAAACGCCTTCTCAGGAAGTGGTGTGTGTGTGTGTGTGTGTGTGTGTGTGTGTGTGTGTTTTGGGGAGGGCCATTTGAGAATTCCGCCTGGGGCCTCGGGACTGAGTGCTCCCCCTGGAGGACTCCTCGGAGGAGGCAGCCTTCCTCCTGAGCCTTGGAAGATAGGACGGGACTTGGGCGGGTGAAGGTGACACGGAGCTGAGGGTGGGAGTCAGGGAAGCACCAGGGGCCTTGCAGGGGTTTGTGCATGAGTCAAGGTGAACAGAAATGATGCCATTGACCCCATCCCAACAATCTTATTAGAAGACCCCACTGTGTGGGAAGTCCCTGGGACTGTACAGCTATAGAGGACACCCCTCCCCCACCCCCACCCCATGCCCATGGACCCCAGTTCCTCCTCCCGTTCACATCCAACTTTGTCTCTTTCTCTCCCTGTCCATTCTGATCTCCACTTCCCTCCCCTCCTCTCCGACCTCCGTGTCCCCCATCCCCGTTCTCCGCGCCCACCTCCCTCCAGTGTGGCCAAGGCTCTGTGTGTGAGGACCGTGACGGGCCAAGCCCTGAAGCTGTTTCAGGAATACCCCATTATCTCGGAAGTGATCTCGGACCAGGAGGCTGTGGCCGCCCTTGAGAAGTTTGTGGGTATGTGCCAAGTCCTTTCGAGACCCAGCCTGCTGGGTCAGGAGCCAAGTGGCTGTCCTGGCTTCCTGGTATGCTGGGGGATTCCAAAGCTGCACGTTTATCCAGAGTTCAGTCTCCCCTCCCTTCCTAGGACTCCCCATTGAATACAACGCCCTAGTAAAAACAGAAAGGCCAAAGGCACAAGTGAAGCCTGATGTCCCTGACAGCAGGGGGATAATAACTATTTTTTAAGTGTTGGTCCTGAGCTTCCTGGCAGCCAGGGTGAAAAGGGAAAGTCTAGGCCTCAGTGATGGGTTCAGAATTGGGTCTGTAACAAGGTTGGACTCTTTCTGGGTTCAGCCTAGGATAGGAGGGCGTGGACACACACACACACACACACACACACACACACACACACGGTAGCACTGAACGCTGTCCCAGCAGTCAGCTTGGCTAATCGACCACGGCACTCTGGCTCAGATGAGGCCTCAGAACCCTTCTCCGCACACTGCCCAGGCGATTACCACCATTTCATCAGGGTCAGCACCAATGAGGACACCAAGCTCAGGGCATGGACGGCCAGCCCCGGACAGTGAGGGAAGGACCTGCGGGGGTGGCCAGGGCGGAGAGCGGACTGGCTCCTCCTCGCCCCCCTCTCCCCTCCTCCGCGTGCTTGACCAGGCACCCCCCCCTCCCTATCCTCCCCTTCCCCCCCCCCCCCCCCCCCCCGCAGACGACGAGAAGGTCCTGGTGGAGCCGGCCTGCGGGGCGGCCCTGGCCGCCGTCTACAGCGGCGTGGTCCAGAAGCTGGTACGGGAAGGGAAGCTCCGCACCCTGCCGTCCTCCCTCGTGGTCATCGTCTGTGGGGGCAGCAACATCAGCCTGGCCCAGCTGCAGGCCCTCAAGAAACAGCTGGGCATGAAGGACGCGCTGCCCAAGTGACGGCCCGGCCCCCCCCCCCCCCGCCCCCCGGGCCCAGGGACCCCTGCGGGGCTGCTTCCCAGCACCTCATTGTACACTTCACTCCCGTGTCTGGCCGCGGGCCTGCTGCCAGGCCGGTCGGTCGGTGCTTACTTGAGCCCACGAGCCCGCGGGGCAGAGGGCCACACGCTTCGCAGTGGAGGCGGGGGTGGGGGGTGGGGTGTCGGCGGCCGGTGAGGCTGGGACTGGTCCCCTGCCGCTCTGCCATCGTCCTCAGCCACCCCCCCTGCCGGGGCGACACTGCCCACCTGTAGCATACCCGGTCCCCGGGGCAGGTGGGCGCGAGGACCCGGGGTCGCACAGGAGGCCCCCCTCTGGGGAGGTGGCTCTCCGGCTGGGGAGGGGGACAGGCCCGCAGCCCAGGCTGAGGAGCCATCTTTATTTTACTCCCGGGAAGCCCCCCCCCCCCCCTCACCCATTTTTCTAATGTGCACACGTTTTCACTGAAAAAAAAAAAAAAGAGGTATTTATGAAGCAAAGAGCCTCCGAGTGTCTCCATCATCACTGGCTTTCCCTCTTCCCTCCTCCTCCCACCCCATCACGCCTGCTCCCAGCCCTGCTATCTATCAGCAGGGAGCACCCCCAACCGCCACCCCGGCCCCAGGAACCTGGGACCCCACGTGAAACTCAAGACCCCCACCCCTCGCCCCCTTGCACACCAGAGGGTGGGAAGCCGGTGGGGAAGGTGGTGCTGAACCAGAGGGGCTAGGGGTGGGGGTGGGGGGTGAGGGAACAGAATGGTTTAGTCCCAGAACCCCTGGGAGCAGGTGGGGAGCCCCCATCCCCGGGGTGGGGGGGTGTACACAGACACTGGGCGTCGTCTCAGGGACAGGGAGGGAGGGGACACGAAGTCAGTGTCGGGCAAACCCTCCAGCCAGAGCGACGATCTTATCAAAAGACCCCGCTCAGTGTGGGAAGCCCCGGGACTGCACAGCTATAGAGGGCACCCTACCCCCACCCCATGCCCAGGGACCCCAGTTCCTCCTCCCTTCCACACCCAACTTTGTCTCTAGAAACACGCAGCCCTCTCTCAAGGCGGCGGGGGCCAGCGGGTAAAAGAGGAGCCTCGGGGGCTGGGAGGGCCCCCAGCCCCCCTCAAGAGTGTCCCGGAACCACCTACAGCAGCCACTGGCCACCTGACTGGGTCCCCAAGTTCAAAGCCAAGTTTGAGGCCACTCTCATCTCTCAGGGCAGCGGGCAATGAGCCCAGGCTTGCAGCCGTCCCAAGGACAGAGGCAGAGACTGGGGAGGAGTGGAAAAATCCACCCTCAGCCCCGCCCCCCAGCCTCAGGCCTTCCGATCTCCACGTGTATTTTAAACACCAGGGGGGGCGAGCATCCTCAGCCCCGTGGCCCCAGAACAGCCCGTAGGGTCAGAGTGGAAGGAATGTGGTGCCCAGCCCGGAACCCTGCCTCGGGGGGGGGGGGGGGGGGGGAGAAGGGGAGGGAGACACAGCTTCCAGCTCCCACTGTCCCCCTGGGTCGGGCATGAAACTCCCACGAGGCCAGGCAGCCCCCTGGGCCCACCAGAGGAGGGTCTGAGGCGCAGGGGGCGGGGCCAACCAGCTGCCAGGCAGCTGTCCACCAGGGAAGGGCAGAGGCCACGGACGAGCAGCAGCTACCGCTGCGGAGCTGAGGATTATGGGAAACTCCGGGGCACCCGGGCCGAGAGAAGCGGCCTCTCTGGCAGCCCCTGCAGAGGTGGGTCCTGTCTTTGCGGGTCAGCGTGGCGCCCCAACCTCTGTTCAGAATCACCCCAGCCACATGGCCGTCCCGTCTCCCAGGAAGCAGAGGGGCCAGAATCACGCCCGGAGTCGCCCCTTCCCACACAACGGCCCCTGGGGGACCCCACCTCCCCGAGCCTCCCAGCCTTGACCTCCTCCAGACCGAGGCTCAGTGCCTGCGTGCCCGTGTTATTTACTGCGTTGACTCCCTCAGCACCATAAGCCTCCCTGGGAGCGGAGACTTCTCTGTGCCTCAGTTGTAAGGCAGCCACGGGGTCGTACGCAGGCCCTGGCCTGTGCTAAGTAAGGCCTGCTGGTGAGTCAATGGTGAGCGGTCACAGCCACCACTGCAGTGAATCTTTACCCATCCATCCCCCCGCCCATCCCCCGAAGTGCTGCTCACAGCCTCACCCGTTTTACAGAGGGGATGACCAGGGCTGAGAGGTTAGGCCCCATGGCCAGTACGAGATGGAGACAGGACTTGAACTCGGGTCTCTGACTCCAGGGCCTGTGCTCTCTCCTCTCCCCACGCACACAGCACTGGGCGAGTCTCATCTCCGATGTAGGTTTCTGGGTTTGAACAGACAGGGCGAGACTCTGTTCTGTATCGCTCTGTGCCCCACAGAAGGACTGGGAAGGTCTTGTGGTTAACAGGTCCCAGAAAGGGGACAGAACAAAGTAGGTGCTCAATAAACATCAGATGGGTACCCGTGGATGGACGGGTATATGGGTGGATGGATGGATGGATGGATAGATGAAAAGGTAAATGGGGGGATGGATGGGTATATGGGTAGATGGATGGATGGATGAAAGGGTATATGGGTGGATGGATGGGTATATGAGTGAATGGATAATGGATGGATAAATGGATGACTGGAAAACAGAAAGGTGGGTGATATATGGGTGGATGAATGGGTGTGGGTGGATGGATGGATGGGTGGATGGGTATATGAGTGAATGGATAATGGATGGATAAATGGATGACTGGAAAACAGAAAGGTGGGTGATATATGGGTGGATGAATGGGTGTGGGTGGATGGATGGATGGGTGGATGAGTGTATGGGTGGATGGATGGGTATATGGGTGGATGGATGGGTATATGGATGGATGGACGGATAGATGAGTATATGGGTGGATGGATGGGTATATGGATGGATGGACAGATAGATGAGTATATGGGTGGATGGATGGGTATATGGATGGATGGATGGATGGATGGGTATATGGGTGGATGGATAATGGATGGATAAATGGATGACTGGAAAACAGATGAATAGAGATGGGTGGGTGGGTGATATGTGGATGGATGGACGGGTGTGGGTGGATGGATGGATGGATGGATGGATAAATATGTAGATGGACAGTGGGTGGGTGGATTGGAAATAAATGGATAGATGGACAGACAAAAGGATGGACAGGAAGTGCAGATCCCAATCCTGAGAAGAGAAAAGGCCCAGACGCAGCCTTCCCCACCGCCCGAAAGTACCACACGGGGCACGGCCTCTCTCGTTTAATCATCACAGCCTGTGAGATGGCACCTGCAGCCAGGACCGTGGGCACTGCCTGAGGCCTGGGCACCCACGTCGGGGCGGGGCACGAGGCTGGAGCAGGCGCGACACGCCGGCCTGGTCCTGGAGTGAGGACCCTCGGCCTCAGCCACGGTCGCCAGGAACTTTGGTTTGTGTTTGTTCGTTTCTGTCCAGGAGAAAGCTGTCCAGCGGGGACACGCTGCTTCCTGAGGGGGCAGAGGAGCTGGGGCCGGGGATCACCACCGGCCTCCGGGAATACCCAGGCCTTGAGGCTAAAACTCACGGGGCCCCCAAGACCTGGTCCCTCCGCAGGGGCGGTGAGAGAGAAGCAGAGAGAACAGAGAGAAACGGAAAAGAAGGAGGAGGTGCAGAGGAGACAGAAATGGCACCGGCTCCTGAGGGGGAGTCAGTCCCGGGCCCCACCCAGGAGGAGGTGCCCAGATGAGCAGGAACTGGCAGACCAGGGTCCCAGCTCTGGGCACAACAGGGGGCAAAGGCCACAGACGGGGCGAGCAGGCGGTCAGTCCCAGGAGACCTTGACGGGCGAGAACTTCCAGAGGTCGGGCTGGCCCATGTGCAGCAGGCCGCCGAAGGGCGAGGTGCTCCACTGGAAGGGGGGCACCTGGTCCCACGTGGGGCCGCCGACGGCCACCAGGCCCAGGGCCTTGGCCAGGGTCACGCTGGTCACCTGGGGGGCCGGGGCAGAGCAGACGGCCGCGTGTCAGCCAGGCTGGGCTCCACGCCACCCCGACCCAGGCCCCTGGCACCTGCCCCCAGCCCTATTCGGACCCTGACTCCGCCCCACCACCTGCGTTGGCCCAGCCTGCTCCCCGCCCCCTCCCCAGCCATCGTGCCCACCCACCGCACAGACCTTGGCATCGATGCCCCCGTGAGAGCGCTGCTGCAGCGCCTGGAACGGGTAAGAGCCGTTGGCTGGGTTGAGGTCGGAGCGCGCCGAGATGGCGTTCTCCCCGTTGGGCTGCGGCCTGCAGGCCTTGCACAGTGACAGGGGGTCGTGCAGGAAGTCATTGTACCTGGATCGGGAAGGGAGGGAGGGACCGGTCGTGCTGGGAAGAGGTAGGGGGGTCAGGGGTTCAGGGGGGGTTCGGGGGGCGGTGAAGGGGAGACCAAACTCCTCCCGGCAGCAGCCCCAGAACCTGCTTCCAATGAGCCGGCCCCTCCCGCCGCTGGGGTCCCTCACCCCTGCACCTCATCGCCCCGCCCTCGGTCCTCCATCCTCCGAGGAGAGACCCCCTCTTGTCCCACCACAGCCTTTCTGGGGACTGACGCATCCGCGTCCGTGTGCTCGGTGGATCGCTACGTCACGGACGGGGCGGCCTGGGGAAGGGGGGCCTGCTCTGTGCCCCGCGCCCAGCCCGGGGCGGTCACACAGCGGCCGGTCAGGGTCCTGCCCGTGAGGGGCGGCCGGTGGCGGGGCTCACGCTGAGTGTGGGTGTGGCCGCACCCCTGCCCGCCCGGGCGTGCCGAGAGGCCTGAATGAGTGACAGCGAACAGCGCAGAGCGCGCCCCGTGACTCCGGCTCGCCGCTCCCCACCCACCTGATCAGCCGGATCATGGAGTCCACGTCGTGCACCAGCGACTGGTCCCGCCGGAAGATCTGGGCCCGAGGGCTCCTGTCGTAGGAGAACCAGTCCCCGTACTGGGCCACCAGGCCCGGCAGCCCGCTGGCGTTGAACACGGACTCAAAGGACCTGCCGGGGGTGAGAGCGGGCACTCGTGGCTCCTGGCAGCAGAGGGGCGGTCAGGACAGCACAACGATGGCCTGTGTGTGCTGGGGGGCGGCCTGGCTCAGGCTCAGGGGGCCCGAGAGACCTGCTCCCCGCCCCGGCGTCACCACCACCCAGCTAGGGAGCCTTGGGAAGGTGAGGCGCTCCTTTGGGGCCTCAGTTTTGCCCTCTGTGAAATGGGAACAGGAGCTGTGGCTCACACGGTCTGAGGACCCAACGACATCCCCCAGGTGAAGCCCAGTGAGGTCCCGAGGGGATGGAGGAGCAGCCAGTTAAAGGGGCCCCAGCCCGGGAGCCATGGCAGGGTCGGCGCCCCCATCGGCTCACCCCCCTCACCCATACGGATGCTGACTTCAGAGCCACTCTGTGCCCCGCGCGGCCAGGGCTTCCGGGGCCAGAGGAGGGTGGGGCGGGTTTAAAGAATCAGGTGGGCAGGGTCCCTGGCAGCGGGGAGAGTGGGACGAGGGGGCGGGGCGGACACGGGGGCGGGAGGGGACACCTACGGGATGTTGTAGCTGGCCCAGTAGGTCTTCTCGTAGAGCTCAGCGGTCTTGTCGGCCACCACCACCATGCCCCTGGGCGGGAGGGGGGCGGGCGGTGAGGAAGGCGCCTGTGGGCTCTGCCTGCCCTGGCCCGGCGGGAGGCAGATTACGTCCTGAATCTGAGCCCGATCAGGGCTGCCACCCCTGCCAGCCTCGCCTCCCTCAGACTTCCTCTCCCCACACGCTGCAGCCCCCTCCCCAGGGCACTCACGGGATCTGCTCCAGGACGGTGAGCACCCGGCTCCCGGGGCTGGGCCCACCCGGCACGAACGCCTTGTAGTCCACGACCATCCACTGGTTGTTGTACCTGCCGGGCGGGGAGGGAGGACTGACGGCGGCTGGAGCCGCTGCCCGGCCCCCCCCTGCTCCATGGCCCTCCCCACTGCCCCGAGCCCTCAGGTTCCAAACTCTCTTCCTGTCCTTCCTCGGGGGCCTTTCCCGGGTGGGGAAGCCTGCAGGAGAGGGCAAATGCTTCTCCCTCCTCCCCCGGCCTCAGGTTCCCCGTGTATAAAACATGGGGGCACCCGGGCTGGTGTTGCTCAGTGGCTACAGCGTCAGTTCTCAACCTGAAGGGTCTCAGGTTCAGTTCCCCGTTAAGGGCACGTGCTTGGGTTGCAGGTTCGATCCCTGGCCCTGATCGGGGCACGTGTGAAAGGCAATCAGTCGATGAGTCTCTCTCACATGGATGTTCTCCCTCCCTCCCTTCCTTCCTCCTTCCCAGGCTCTCTAGAAAGCCATGGGAAGGTACCCTTGGGTGAGGATTCAAAAACAAAACAAGGGAAGGAACCCTTGTGGTAATCCATGAAAGGGCTCTGCAGAGGGTGGAGGTGTGTAGAGGGTGAGAGCATGCAGAGGGTGGGGCATGCAGAGGGTGGGGGATGCAGAGGGCAGGGGCATGCAGAGGGCGGGGGCGTGCAGAGGGTGAGGGCGTGCAGAGGGTGAGGGCGTGCAGAGGGTGAGGGCATGCAGAGGGTGGGGGATGCAGAGGGTGAGGGATGCAGAGGGTGAGGGCGTGCAGAGGGTGAGAGCATGCAGAGGGTGAGGGCATGCAGAGGGTGGGGGATGCAGAGGGCGGGGGCATGCAGAGGGCGGGGGCGTGCAGAGGGCGGGGGCATGCAGAGGGCGGGGGCATGCAGAGGGCGGGGGCATGCAGAGGGCGGGGGCGTGCAGAGGGTGGGGGCATGCAGAGGGTGGGGGCATGCAGAGGGTGAGGGCATGCAGAGGGTGAGGGCATGCAGAGGGTGGGGGCATGTAGAGGGCGGGGGCATGCAGAGGGTGAGGTCATGCAGAGGGTGGTGCGTGCAGAGGGTGAGGGCATGCAGAGGGTGGGGGCATGCAGAGGGCGGGGGCATGCAGAGGGTGGGGGCATGCAGAGGGTGAGGTCATGCAGAGGGTGGGGGCATGCAGAGGGGGAGGCGCGCAGAGGGTGGGGGCATGCAGAGGGTGGGGGCATGCAGAGGGTGGGGGCCCGCAGAGGGTGGGGCAGGCCGAGGGTGGGGCGTACAGAGGGTCTGAGTATTAGGGGGGAGGTTGGACCACTTTTCGGGGGACGGGGGGAGGCCACGGGCCGGACGCCACTCACGTGCCGCTGTTGAACCTCTTGAAGGTCTCCGCCCAGGTGTCCCCGTCCAGGGCCAGGCGGTTGGCCACGACGCTGCGCACCCACTCCAGCACGCAGCCCCGCGGCTGCACGTGCTTCCACAGCGCCGGGTTCTGGTTGCCGATGGTGGTCTCCAGCGTCACCTGGGGGAGCCGAGGGCGCGGCGTGAGGAGCCACCTCGGGCGGCGGCGGCAGCGCTCGAGGTGACTCGGTGTCAGAACCGCCTGCTCTGGCTCAGACGCACGCTCCTCGGGGGCCGGGTGGCACGGAGGGGACTCGTGTCCACGCACCAGCTTTGCCGGGACGAGCCCCTGAGGAGCCGGGCAGCCAACTCCCCCCAGAGGGCAGCAGCCGTTCCCACCCGCCCTGCGGTTCCCGGGGCCGGGGGGCCTGAGCTGCTGGCCCCCAGAGGGCCACAGGCCCCGAACTCACAGGCCTCCCAGGCTGCCGATGGCCCTTCGTGCTGCAGGTAAACTGAGGCCCGAGGAGGCTGGAGGCTTGCCCATGGGCATGCTGGTAAGTAGAGGGTCCAAGATGCGACCCCCCCAACTTCTGCCTCCCCAATCAGTGCTTGTTCCCCACAGCAGGACATTCATGTGCTTCTCCCCTTTTCATGCAAAACCCAGAAACAGCTAAGATAGCAGCAGCTGTAAATGTGGCGTGAAAAAGAGGAATCTGCTGGCCGGCTGGCCGACTGGCCAGTGCTGCTCAGTGGTTGAGCGTTGATGAGTGAGCTACGAGGTTCCAGGTTCAATTCCCAGTCAGGGCACATGCCCGGGTTGTGGGCTCAACCTCCAGTAGGGGGTGTGCAGGAGGCAGACAACTCAGGATGTTTCTTTCCCATTGCTGTTCCTCTGTCTATAGCCCTCTCCTTTCCTCTCTCTTTAAAAATCAATAAAAACATATTTAAAAAAAAAAAAAAAGAAGAAGAATGAAAGAGGAATCTGCAAAGCAGGCCCGAGTTGCAATGCCCAGACAGGGACAGCTTCCTCCCTCCCTCCACCCTCCGGCTCTTAGCAGCCAAAGCCACAGCCAGGGCTGAGACCAGCTGGGTCCCGAAGCACCGGCCTCCCCGAAGTCACTTCCCTCTCTCTCCAGCAGGGGCCTCTTAGCCTGGGGCAGTTCTCAGGGAGCCCGCAGGCTTGGATAGGGAAACCAGTATATCTTATTTCCACTAACATCAGCCTGAAATTCAGCATCTCCTCCACAGTTAACACAGCAACACCCCACGGAGGGAGGTGTGAGGGTACCTTAGCCTGTCAGGGACAGAAAGCACACGCTTCCCCTCCAGGTGACACAGGGTTGCAAAGACCTCAAAATACCGTTTATGTCCCACAATTTTTTTTCTTTTTTTAAATATATTTTATTGATTTTTTACAGAGAGAAAGAGAGAGAGATAGAGAGTTAGAAACATCGATGAAAAAGAATCATCTATCAGCTGCCTCTTGCACACCCCCTACTGGGGATGTGCCTGCAACCAAGGTACATGCCCTTGACCGGGATTGAACCTGGGACCTCTCAGTCCGCAGGCCGACGCTCTATCCACCGAGCCAAACCGGCCTCAGCGTGTCCCGGGTTACTTCTAAGTGACTCCGGCAGCACCTGTGCCCGCACCCCGTTCTCTCTCAGCATCAACATTTCAGGCTTAGATAACATTCTGATAAACACATTTCCATGGAATGTTTTGCTTTTCACACCTGAAAACATCGCTTTGGGGTGGGGTTCACGGCTCCCAGGTCAGTGCACAAACCCGGGTAAGGCCCCAGATGGGAGGTAAATTTCCACCTAACTGATTCACCGTCTCCCTGGGCCCCACCTGGGCCCGAGCACCGGGCTGCCTCCCCCACTGCCTGGCCCTCTCACAGCTGTTTCAACTTCAGGGGCTCGAGGCCACGCTCCCCTCAAAAGCTAACGCCCCTCCCACCCCGAGGAAGCGGGCACCCTCGAAGCCAGGGTTTTCTCCTCTGCGTGTTGCCCTGGCGATGGCGGGGCCCGCTGCCCCGGGGAGGGCGCCGGGCACAGATTTCTAAATGCGCTTGGACCCCGTCCAGGAAACGCCGGAGAAAACAAGGCCTCGTAGACAACGTGTATTCAGTAAACCTGGCCGGGTCAGAGGGGGTTTGTGGAAAGCAAGGGAGAAGGCGGCGCTGGAGCAGGGTCGCGCGGGAGAGGGGCGGCTGCTCCTGGCAGAGGTCAAGGCCATCTCCGGAGAGCGCCACGAGACCAGGATTTCCCAGGAGCTGTGTGACCGTGCAGGGGCCCAGGCCGGCGGCAGGTTCGGGGACGCCCAGGGGGGTCTGGGGGTCTGCATCTAAGAAGCCCCATTCTGTCCAGCCGGCGTGGCTCAGGGGTTGAGCATTGACATATGACCCAGGAGGTCACAGTTCGAGTCCAGGGAGGGCACATGCCTGGGTTGTGGGCTCAATCCCCAGTGTGGGGCATGTAGGGGGCAGCCAACCAGTAATTCCTCTCATCACTGATGTTTCTCTCTCTCTCTTTCCCTCTCCCTTTCTCTCTCTCTCTCTCTCCAAAAATCAATTTTTAAACAAATATTTTTTAAGGGAAAAAAAAGCCCCACCTATGGATAGGTACTAGCTTTATCAGGTGATCACTCCGTAAGGGACATAACCGCCAATCACTATGCTCTACGCCTGAAACTAGCATACTATTGCATAGCAACTGCAATTGAGTGGTCTTTTTTAAAAAACACATTTTATTGATTTTTTACAGAGAGGAAGAGGGATAGAGAGTTAGAAACATTGACCAGCTGCCTCCTGCACACCCACCCACTGGGGATGTGCCCGCAACCAAAGTACATGCCCTTGACCGGAATCGAACCTGGGACTTTTTCAGTCCATAGGCCGGCGCTCGATCCACTGAGCCAAACCAGTTTCAGCTGAGTAACCTTTTTTTTTTAAATATATATATTTTATTGATTTCTTATAGAGAGGAAGGGAAAGGGATAGAGAGTTAGAAACATCGACCAGCCGCCTCCTACACATCCCCTACTGTGCCCACAACCAAGGTACATGCCCTTGACTGGAATCGAACCTGGGACCCTTCAGTCCGCAGGCCGGCGCTCTATCCACTGAGCCAAACCGGTTTCAGCTGGGTAACCTTTTTAAAGGAAGACCCAATTAGTGGTCCAAGCGCCTGCCCAGGGGAGGCCGGGGCCGGGGGAGGGAGACTCACCAGCCCGCTGTTCAGGATGTAGAAGTCGTCGCCGGAGAAGATGGTGCCGGGGTAGGACGAGAAGATCAGCTTGTTGCCAGGGGCCAGGGGAGCATTCGCTGTGGGGGGACAGGGCCGGAGTGCGGGTGCTGGTCAGATAAGCCCACATGGGGGGCCGCACCCCCACCCATCTAGACTTGGGGAGCGTCCCGGTGGGGAGCAGCAGGCCCCGACACCTTTCTGTTCTTTTTATTTATTTATTTAAAATCTTTATTGTTTAAAGTATGTCATAAGTCTCCCCCCCCCCCCCCATGGACCTCTCCCCCGCTGTCCCCACTCCCACACACCTTTCTTTCTGCTATTTAGCAAGCCAGGCATTTGATGTGTGTGCTGGGTGAGTGTGAATGCTAGTAACAAAATACATAGATATAGATATATAGATATAGAGATAGAGATAGAGATAGAGATATATAAAATGTTTATTAGTACTGTTTTTAGCTTTCTTTCTTTTTAATGCTTTAAGTGATTTTAGAGAGAGAAGGGAGAGGGAGAGACAGAAACATTGATGAGAGAGAACCATCAATTGGCTGCCTCCTGCAGGCCCCCTGCTGGGGATTGAGCTGACTCATGGACATGTGACCCCCCCAAAAAATGGCGGTTTGAAGCTTTTGTTGTTTAAATGTGGAGGCGATCTGTTGTGCAGCACTAGCTAATGAATGCACCTTGTGCTAACAATGCGATGACCTCTTAGCATGGCCCTGCAGGGACCATAGTGTGCCTGAGTATCATCGCTGTGTCCCCGGGGGACCCTGAACTGTGCTGGGCATAAGCCAGGTACTTCCTAAGCATCTGCAAGGTGAATGGTGTGTGGGTGGGTGGATGGGTGGGTGGTTGGATGGGTGAATGAATGGGTGAGTGGGTAAGTGGGTGGGTGGGTGGATAGATGAGTGGATGGGTGGGTAGATGGATGGGTGTATGAATGGGTAAGTGGGTAACTGGGGAGGTGGGTGGATAGATGGGTGGATGGGTGGGTATATAGATGGGTGAATGAATGGGTGAGTGGGTAAGTGGGGGGGTGGATAGATGGGTGGATGGGTGGGTGGTTGGATGGGTGAATGAATGGGTGAGTGGGTAAGTGGGGGGGGTGGGTAGTTGGGTGGATGGGTGGGTAGGGTGAATGAATGGGTGAATGGGTAAGTGGGGGAGTGGACATACCTCCTGGCACTCTTCCCCCCCTGCCCCCCCAACCCCCCGCCCACGTGCCCAAGCACAGACACACCCGCAGCCACCCACCTCGGGGGCCTTCCTGGAACTGGAACCAGTACTGCTTGATGATGCGCAGCATGTTCTGGTAGGCGTTCCAGGTGTTGTGGGCGACCAGGAGGTCGCTGTGGTCAGGCAGCAGCTTGATGAGGGCGGAGCAGGAGCCGGAGCCCACGGTGTGCCTGGTCTTGGTCTTGTTCAGGGCCGGCTCCAGGTCCTCCAGGTCCCCGGCGATCTGCAACAGGCTGAGGGGCCGAGTCTGTCACAGACCATCTCACAGGGGAGGACACTCAGCCTCGGGGGGGGGGTGAGGGGGGAGACACGACAGGCAGGTGATTGGTCCGAGGCCATGGAGCCAGGAAGTGGCACGGCCAGTACGGAGCCCAGGGCTGTCTGACTGTGAGTGTGTGGCCCTCTCCCCAGCCCTGTCCGCTCCGGGGAGGCACTTACAGGAAGCCCAAGGGTTTGATGGTGAAGTTTCCTGTCGGGAAGGCCATGCTGCCTTCATAGCTGTCCTCCAGGCCTTTCAGCTGCAGGAGGGTCAGCCGCACCTGGGGGAGGGGGGGGCAGGGGGTGAGGCCTCCCCTCCAGGCTCTCACCTGCTCCTGCGGTGGGAAGGGCTCGGGGGTCCAGACGGAGCAGGAGAGGCAGAGGTGCACCGCCAGGCTCCAGCCAGCCCTCCCCACCATCCACCCCTGCATGCCAAGCACCTTCCTGCCTTCAGTGAATTCCCTGCCTGTCCCTGCCCGGTGCCACCTTCCAAACCACGCCCGCTTAGGAGCCCGGCTTAAAGCCTCCTCCTCCGGGAAGCCTCCCAGGCGGTCCTGAGTGTAGCTACTGGCTGTGCTGCTGCCTCAGGACGCCAGTCTCATGTGGCTGACGTCTCCCCATCGACACTGTCCTTGTTCTGTAACCGCGGAGTATCATCGCTGTGTCCCCGGGGGACCCTGAACTGTGCTGGGCATAAGCCAGGTACTTCCTAAGCATCTGCAAGGTGAATGGTGTGTGGGTGGGTGGATGGGTGGGTGGTTGGATGGGTGAATGAATGGGTGAGTGGGTAAGTGGGTGGGTGGGTGGATAGATGAGTGGATGGGTGGGTAGATGGATGGGTGTATGAATGGGTGAGTGGGTAACTGGGGAGGTGGGTGGATAGATGGGTGGATGGGTGGGTATATAGATGGGTGAATGAATGGGTGAGTGGGTAAGTGGGGGGTGGGTAGATGCGTGGATGGGTGGTGGGTAGGGTGAATGAATGGGTGAGTGGGTAAGTGGGGGGGGTGGATAGATGGGTGGATGGGTGGGTAGATGGGTGGATGGGTGAATGAATGGTTGAATGGGTAAGTGGGATGGGTGGATAGATGGGTGGGTAGATATATGAGTTAATGAATGGGTGAGAGGGTAAGTGGGTGGGTGGGTAGATAGATGGATGTATAAATGGGTGAGTGGGTAACTGGGGGGGGTGGATAGATGGGTGGATGGGTGAGTGGATAGATGGGTGAATGAATGGGTGAGTGGGTAAGTGGGGGGTGGATAGATGGGTGGATGGGTGGATGGATAGATGGGTGAATGAATGGGTGAGTGGGTAAGTGGGGGGGGGGGTGAATGGAGGGAGGAAGAGCCTGTTCTAGTGAAAGTAGGAGCAGGTGGCTGGGTGACAGTGAGAAATTCTGAGGGACAGGGGCACACCTGGCCCAGGGGAGGTGGAGGTGCTCACAGACCCTGGCAGGCACTCTCAGAGACCGCCTGTGCTTCTAGTTAAACTTGAGGGGTGTCTGGGAGGGCGGTGTCCATGAATGAATGGCTTCGTCAATAACCCCAGGGCACAGTGCCTACCTGGGTGTCTGGGCTACTCAGCAGCTCCCCTAGCTGAGGGAAACTACAGTCACTGCGCCCGACCTCCTGGGTTTATAGTTCTCCCCTCCCCCTTCCTCTTCCATAAAGGCTTTCTCATGCAATCAGCCCAGCCACTCCGTGCATGCAGGTAAAACAGCGCCGGCAATGCTCTACAGGGGCTCCTAGGCAGCAGGAGGGCAGAATGGGCTGGAGAGAGAGACAGGAGGTTGGGAGGGACAGCTGGAGCACCATCACGTGGCTAGATCGATGGAAGGAAGGAAGGATAGATAGATGGATGGGTGGGTGGAAGGAAGGACGGGTGGAGACTGGACAGATGGATGGCAGGCAGGTCTGTTTGAGGGAGGGAGACAACGATGGCCACCTCCAAGGACAGGCCAGAAAGGGCGGGAACAGGTCCCCTCGGCAGGGCAGACCCACCCGCCCCCCAGCCCTCTGAGCACGCGCGGCTGTGCCCACCTGGTGCCAGTAGGCGGAGTCTTTGTTCAGCTCCACCTGCCTCTGCATCCACTCCAGGTTGGCTTCCAGGAAGCTCTTGAGCCGCTCGCAGTAGCCGACCTCATACTCGAAGGGGCCGCAGTAATTCACCACCGTGTTCATCCAGTGCATGTAGATGAGCTGCGGGGCGAGGCAGGGAGGTGGGCGAGGGCGGGGCAGGGCAGCGGGCTGCGCTCTTCCCCTGAGGACCCCACCCCGGCTCCCCACTTGGGTTAAGGGTCCTCACCCAAAGCCCCGGCCGTGGGATGGTGGCACCTCTGCTCACACTGGCTCCTCCCCTAACGCCTGCTTACCCAGCCGGCGCTTACCCCCCCAGCAGGGCCCGATGCCCGGACCTAACCCTTTAGCCTTCAGCGTCTGTCCTAGATTACACCCCCTGTGGCTAGGACCCCTGCTCTAGATATCTGTTCAGTCGGTTAGTCAACGCAATCTGGGCCTCGCCCAGTCTGACCACCTCCCCAGCAGTCAGTTCCCCAGACTGCCCCCAGGGGTCAGCATGAGGAGCGTGGGTGTGACAGACCCCCGCGTGCTGTCCTCTGGCCGGGCGCCTTCCCTCCGGCCATCCGGCATCTCATCCACCGTGCGCCTCATCCATTCTCACCAGCACCCTGCGCCGTGTGCGGCACCACCCCGGGCTGCCCGTCACCCGCGAGGGGCATCTGGGTCCCCCCATCTCATGCCCATCCTCGGTCACCGCTAGGGACGAGGGCACGTGTGTGTCAGGCTCTACAGGTGGATGCCAGGTTATCTGCCAAAGTGGGTGTCGCACAGCGTGGGGAGCCAGCCCTCGCGCCACGGCCCCGCCCCCTCTGATGCTGCCGGACCTCTGAACGGCAGGGTGATTGCTTTTGTGAAGTTCCCGGTCAACGAAAGCAAAATATGCCAATTGAGGATTCATTGCGTGTCATAACACTCATTTAGCAAAAGCCAGGGAGCGGAAATAACTCACGGTCACACGCCCAGCCTCTGGTGAGGGATCAGTGACAGGGCGTGGAATATTACTTGGCCAAGAAAAGCAATGGAGTACCCTCTCCTGCTACATGTGGACCTGTGAACCTCAGTGAGAGAGGCTGGTCACAAAGACCCAGGACTGTAGGATTCCATTCGAGTGTCAAGAAGAACCAAATCTGGCTGAAACCGGTTTGGCTCAGTGGATAGAGCGTCGGCCTGTGGACTGAAGGATCCCCGGTTCGATTCCGGTCAAGGGCATGTTCATTGGTTATGGGCACATCCCCAGTAGGGTGTGTGCAGGAGGCAGCTGGTCAATGTTTCTCTCATCAATGTTTCTAGCTCTCTATCCCTCTCCCTTCCTCTTTATAAAAAATCAGTAAAATATATTAAAAAGAAGAGGAAGAACCAAATCCATGGAGACAGAGAGTAAGTTAGTGGTTGCCAGGGGCCAGGGTGTGAGGGGGTGGGGAGGGGGGAGGAAGGTGACTGCTGATGCATATGGGGTTTCTTTCTGGGGTGACAAGAATGTTCTGGAATCAGATAGTGGTGATGGCTGCACAACCTTATAAAGATACTAAAAAAAAACAAAACACTGAATCAGACATTTTAAATAGTGAGTTTTAGGGCCTATGATCTGTATCTCAGTATGAATGACTGAGTGAGAGACTGGGAATGGCAGGCACCACATTCAGGGCGGGGTGCCTCCAGGGGAAGGGGAAATGGGGGGAATGGGTTTGGGAGGGGGCCTCAGTAACATCAGTGACATTGTAGGTTGTAGTTTGGGTGCTCACTTGATTATGATGCTTTATAACTTGGAATGCATTATGTGGTTATGTGTTTTGTTTTAATACATTTTATTGATTTTTTTACAGAGAGGAAGGGAGAGAAAGAGTTAGAAACATGGATGAGAGAGAAATATCAGTCAGCTGTCTCCTGCACACTCCCTCCTGGGCATGTGCCTGCAACCAAGGTGCATGCCCTTGACCGTAATCGAACCTGGGACCCTTGAGTCCGCAGGCCAACGCTCTATCCACTGAGCCAAACCGGTTAGGGCTCGGCATGTGTTTGTTATGTGCACTGAATGGAGCCTCGGGGGAAACGTTTAAGGAATGCCCGTGAGCCTGTCTCCCCAGCCAAACGGAGGCTGGGGTGGGAAGCCCACTCTGCACAGACCCTGGCGCCCTCCAAGGCTCCCTGAGGACATGGTGGTGGGGTGTGGGGGCGGCAGGAGCCCCGGTGTCCCCCTCCAGCCTTACCTCCTCAGACACGGCGGCCTCCACCACGCCCGCCGCATAGGCCTGCAGGCTGTCATTATAGTGGCTGCTGGTGTGCAGCTCCAGAAAGGCCCACCTGGGGGAGGAGGGGACACTGGTCACACAGGGTCCGGTGCTGAGTGGCCCTCCGCTCGGCACACCACTGTCTCCGGTGTTAGGCCATCCCTACACCAGCCACGAACTGCCTTCACGCAAGCATCTGTCTGTCTGTCTGTCCCTGGGCACTTGTCAGGCCAAATCCCTAAAAGAGAAAATGCTGAGTCACAGGGAACATGCATTTTTAAACGGTCTGGCTCAGTGGATAGAGCATCGGCCTGCGGACTGAAAGGTCCCAGGTTCGATTCTGGTCAAGGGCATGCACCTTGGTTGCAGGCACATCCCCAGTAGGGGGATGTGCAGGAGGCGGCTGATCGCTGTTTCTCTCTCATCGATGTTTCTAACTCTCTATCTCTCTCCCTTCCTCTCTGTAAAAAAAATCAATAAAGTATACAGTTTTTTAAAATAAAAAATAAATTTAAAAAAAGCATTTTTACTTTAAATGAATACTGACAAGCAGCCTCCCCCAAACACTGAAATAACCTTCATTCCCATCCCCACACCAACTCCAGATCTTCCTCTGAGCCTTGTCACTCGCATATCTATTAATTCTTTTTTAATGTTTGTATTTCTTTGAGAGAGAGAGAGAGAGAGAGAGAGGGAGAGAGAACATTGATGGGAGAGAGAAACACGGATCGGCCTCCTCCTGCATGCTCCCCACTGGGATTGAGCCTGCAACCCGGACATGTACCCTGACCCAGAATGGAACCGGCGACTCGGTGCACCGATCGACACTCAACCACCTGAGCCACACCGACCAGGGCTATTTTCTTGATTTTATTGGTCATTTCTAATTCTTTGGTTCACATCCTTCACTCATTTTCCTCCACTGTGTCTTCTAAGATCTTTTCTTACGGCTGGGCGAAATTCTCTGTGTATGTATTAGCCCTTGTCACTAATATTGAAAATAGATTTGTGTTTGTGTGTGTGTGTGTGTGTATATATATATGTGTATATATATATATATATATATACACACATAAAATTTATTGATTTTTACAGAGAGAAAGAGAGAAAGGTAGAATTAGAAACATCGATGAGAGAGAGACATCTATCAGCTGCCTACTGGGGATGTGCCCGTAACCAATGTACTGGGATGTGCCCGTAACCAACGTACATGCCCTTGACCGGAATCGAACCCTGGATCTTTCAGTCCGCAGGCCGACGCTCTATCCACTGAGCCAAACCGGTTTTGGCAGGTTTGTGTTTTAATCCATCTTTGCTTTTGCTTTTGCCCACAGAGGTTTCGTTTTCCTGCAGCCAAACCTATCAGCCTTCTCCTTGGTGGTTCTGGGTTTTATCCTTGCTCCAAAGACCCAAAACTCTTCACCTGGGTGACTTCCAGGAGGAAAGTGTTTAAGGCAATTTCTATTACGATAAGGAGGGCAACGGGAAGAGCTTATGTGACCTTGAAGAGGCCACGGGACAAGGTGGAGCCAGGCTCAGCCAGGACTGCCTCACGGGAAGGCAGCTAAAATGCCATCAGAAGCTCCAGGACAGGAATAGCTCTGCCCGAGGAGTGTGGAGGGGAGAGACTATCAAACACACACCCCCAGGCGTCCAGAAGGCCAGTCTCTGAGTGCCCACTGGGCATCAGACATGCAGGGCAGACCAGGATGAATGACACCCAGTCCTGCGTTCAGAGAGCTAACAGGGGTGGTGCTTGTGACATGTAAACAGATCATGACAAAACAGGGTGTGGGTGCAGAACAGGGGAGGCCTGCATGGCAACCCTGCAAACTCAGAGACCTGAAGCAACCACAAGGACGGCCTGAAATTAACCCTTCTGACCCACAGCAGTTTGTGGTGGGCAGTCATGTCCTAGGCAGGTCTTTTCCCTGACAAAGGTCAGTCTTTACCTCCTTAAGCCCGTTTCTCTCTCTCTCTTTCTTTTTTTTTTTTTTTAATATATATTTTATTGATTTTGTACAGAGAGTAAGGGAGAGAGATAGTTAGAAACATCAATGAGAGAGAGTCATCGATCAGCTGCCTCTTGCACAACCCCTACTGGGGATATGCCCGCAACCAAGGTACATGCCCTTGACCGGAATCGAACCCGGGACCTTTCAGTCCCCAAGCCGACGCTCTATCCATTGAGCCAAACCGGTTTCGGCTCTCTTTCTTTTTTATTTTAATGTTATTTTTTTTTTAAATATATATTTTATTGATTTTTTACAGAGAGGAAGGGAGAGGGATAGAGTTAGAAACATCGATGAGAGAGAATCATCGATCAGCTGCCTCCTGCACACCCCCTATCGGGATGTGCCCGCAACCAAGGTACATGCCCTTGACCGGAATCGAACCCGGGACCTTTCAGTCCGCAGGCCGACGCTCCATCCACTGAGCCAAACCAGTTTCGGCTCGGACATTTCTTACGTTGATAGAGCTAACAGTGGTTACACACCGAAAGGGAAAAACCTCCTTCGCTCCATCCCACCTCTGCAAACTGCCGGGATTCTTACCATGAAAAGCTCATCGCCGTTATAATAATTCCCAGCATTTTAAAGGGTGCAGCATGGCTTCTTTCAAGTGGCATTTCTGCTTCCCCGCCCCTCCCAGCCTCAGTACCCCGAATATGCGTCAGTCACGGCCCTGATCCCACAGAGGCCGCCTCTATCCAAGAGCTACCAGGGTGACTCCGTTCAGATGGCCTTTGCTCGTTTTGCCGGAGTCTTCAGAACACCCGGGTGGGCAGGGACCCTCCCATCTTTCCCGAAGGCCTCGGGGGAGGGAGGTTTGCTCCCAGCATCTGTGTGGGGTTGCCCTGGCTGATCTCCCAGATCTTCCTAGAGCCTCGATTCCTCAGCCCTAATCAGGTTCCTTCTGATCCGGATGAGGCCGATGCCTCCCACCACCTACAAGTGTCCTAGATCTCCGGCTGCAAACCTGAGATTCTGCTCCTTCGGCACCCCCTGCCCGTCCGGCCTCAGCTTCCCGTCTGTAAAATGGGGAGGCGTGGGTGTCAGCAACTGTGCCGGGAGGCGTGGGTGTCAGCAACTGTGCCGGGGGACAGGTTTTGAGAAACTCTGCCTCAGACCCTGGGCAAAACAGAAATACCCACACGAGGTGTTTCTAAGCTAAATGAGTCCATTAAAGGGCAGCTTTTTTATTTATTTATTTTTTTTCCTGAGATCATGTCTTTTCTGCTTCTTAGGTTCTTACAAGAGCTGATCGCTTATGAGATAAAATTGACAGAGGTCGGTAAGTATTGTTCCGTTTTGTTTTTAATGTGCTTGCCTGACAGAATTTAAAAGTTGGCAGCATGGGATCTGTGAAGCCAATCTTTTTCCACACTGATTTTTAAAAATATATATATATATTTTTTATTGAATTCAGAGAGGAAGGGAGAGGGAAAGAGAAATATCATTGCTGAGAGAGAATCATTGATCGGCTGCCTCCTACAGGCTCCACGCTGGGGATCGAGCCCACAACCCAGGCATGTGCCCTGACTGGGAATCGAACCTTGACTTCCTGGTTCATAAGAGGATGCTCAACCACTGAGCCATGCCAGCTAAGCCACACTGGTTTTATGTCAGGGGTGGCTAGCTCCTCTGAGAAGCCACAATTGAGCAAATACAGACCTTTTGAGTGAGATGGGCAAGGAGTCACCACCTGGCTTCAGTGTACAGCATTCCTGGGTGCCCTCACCGGGTAGGGTGCCCACCTTATCTGTGGCTGTCACCCCTTTCTCACTCTTAAATGCATATGTTTATCTTGCATGATTTTTAAAATAAATTTTATTAATTTTTTTACAGAGAGGAAGGAAGAAGGATAGAGAGTTAGAAATATCAATGAGAGAGAAACATCAACCAGCTGCCTCCTGCACACCTGGCACTGGGGATGGGCCCGCAACCAAGGTACATGCTCTTGACCAGAATCGAACCCAGGACTTTTAGTCCAAAGGCGAACACTCTATCCACTGAGCCCAAATGGCTAGAGCTCTTGCATCACTTTTTAGAGAAGCAGTGGGTTGTGTTTGTCCATTTGGCTGGGCTGGGTTTCTGGGTTGGGGTTGTCTGCTGGCTTCCCAATAGGCTAATTCCCTCCTCTGGATCTTCACTTCCTCTCCTGGCGGGAAGGTGATGTATGCAAAGAGCTGGTGGGCAATCAGATCAGGGAAGGAGGAAGAGGGAAGACCAAGGCCAACTCCGGGGGCGTTTCTGATCCTCAAACACCCAATCCTAAATGCTCCCATCTATGTGGGGAATATTGGTCCAAAGTCAGATACAGCGCAACTGAAAGGGATTATGAGGGAAGAGGATGTGGAGTGTATCCCCGGGTCCCCAGTGGTGAAACCTGGGGTCTAGAGAAAAGGAGGGATTCCCCCTAACCCTCCCCCTCCCCATCCTGGCCTCACCACTGTGCCGCCTCCTCCAGCTGGCCTCCAGGCAGAGGTGTCCAGGCCCTCTTGGCTCTGCTAAGCAGGGCCCAGAACATGTGTGAGTTGGCAGTGACCACAGTCCAGAGCCACAGAGCTCCGGTTCCCTCCACAGATGCCAGCCTACCCCGTGGCCTCCTCTTCCCCAGATTAGCTCTGCCCAGCTCCTGTGTCTACAGCAAACACCCCTCCCAATGTTTTCTTCTATCTGATACCCTCCCACGTGCCACACAGCACCAAAATGAGGGTGTCCTGTGTCTCCCCGATAATGCACGCCAGCAAAACGGGTGTGGGCAGCAGTGGCCATGCCCGCTGGAGACGGCAATATAGTGTAAGCACAGGGATGAGCCCAGGATGGGGTGGCGAGCGGAGTTTCCCAAGATTCCCCAGAAAAGCCTGGATCCAGGGCCAGGGCCCTGCTGACAAGGTGTGAGGCAGACTTTGCCCAATCCCACTGACTCGGGGTTCCCTTTTGGCACTGTCTCCCCCACTGGATGGGGACCCGCCCCACATCTGCTCAGCTCCATAAACTCTAGGCCAAGCACACCAGGTGAGTGAGCGATCGATTGAATGAATGAATGAATGAATGAATGAATGAAAGGGCCCAAGCCCCGGTGTAAGGCCTGAGAGGGGCACCACCCAACCTCCCAGCCGGAGCAAAGCCTCAAAACTCTGGGCCAAGAAGGGGAAATGGGAGGCCAGACAGGCAGAGGAATCGGGTGAAAGTCTCGCAACAGAACGACAGTCCCAGCGAGAAGGACAGTGATCACGAATGCCCAGGACGGAGCACTTGGCTCCATACTAAGTCTCTGACCACATGCGTTTCCCCTGGATTGGGAGAGAAGAAAGGCAGGAGCGGAACCCAGGCCATGGCAGCATCTGGGTCTGTGTCCAACCTGCTAAGCCAGGCTCTGTCCTGAGGCCACGGTTCTGGAACAGCAGCAGTGAGGGGCTGGCACCCATCCCGCTAGTTACAACCAAGAAAGTGAAAATTCGTTTCCTGGCCAGCTCCCCACCTGCAGGCCCAGGAGGCCGGGAAGGGAAGTGAGGACAAGGGGAAGTTGTGTTACCTCCAGCCACGGACCCTTCCTTCCAGGTGGAGGCACAGGGGTCCTGACAACAAGGACCCTGTGTCTAGGGGGCAGAGGTCAGTCACCCCAGGCTACGGTTGGGGGATGCTGCCTCAGCGCCTACCCAGCCAGGGATGCTGCCTCAGCTCCCACCTGTGCCAGGGCCCTGGCCCAGAGGGCGGTGCTGTATCCTCAGAAGCGGGACACTGACCCCAGGGAGACAAGGGCACTGTCAGCGGCCAGAGGCCGGTCCTGGGGACAGGCCAGGCCAGGCCCTGCGCCCAGTCCTCCCTCCCCCATTCCCCCGCTGGTTCCGAGCGGAGTCGGGTCTACCCTTACCCTGTCTCATGAATGGCGTTGGTGAGATTGGCCCAGGCCACGAAGCCGGGCTGGCGGCCATCCACCAGCTGCAGCTGGCCCGTCCTGGCGTCCAGGACCACCGAGCGGCTGCGGGAGGCAGGGGGCACCGGCCCGTAGGGTCCCCAGTGTTCCCTCGGGGCCGAGATCGCGCCCGTCAAGCCGCTCAGAAACAGCCCGGCCAGCAGGGCCAGCACCCGGGCCGGCGCCCGCGGAAACGCCGCCGGGCTCAGGCGGCCGCCCAGCGAGCGGTACGGCGGGGCCACCATCGCCACGCGGAGCCCCACACAGCCGGCTCACGTGACAGCTCCCGTCACCGGGGCGGAGGGGGCAGCAGGCCGGCGAGGGGCGGGGCTTGGGCCCAGCGCTTCCGGGGTGGGCGGGGCCCGGGAGGGGCGGAGGGGCGGGGCCTGTCTTAAAGAGCCCAGCACCCCTGTCCGCCTATGAAAACCCTGCATAACTAGCACACGTCCCCAACTTTTTATTTTTTCAAAATTTCAAACCTAGAACAAAGGTGCAAGGAGGAGAGCCAATACCCATATGCCTAACACCAATTGCTAATATTTTCTTTTCTTTTTAAAAAATATTTTATTGATTTTTTTACAGAGAGGAAGAGAGAGGGATAGTTAGAAACATCTATGAGAGACATCGATTAGCTGCCTCTTGCACACCCCCACTGGGGATGTGCCCGCAACCAAGGTACATGCCTTTGGCCGGAATCGAACCTGGGACCTTTCAGTCCACAGACCGATTGCTCTATCTTCTGAGCTAAACCGGTTTTGGCGCTAATATTTTCTTTCTTTTTCTTTTTTTTTTTTAATATATTTTATTTATTTATTTATTTATCTATTTATCTATTTATTTATTTTTACAGAGGAAGGGAGAGGGATAGAGAACTAGAAATGTCGATGAGAGAGAAACATCGACCAGCTGCCTCCTGCACACCCCCTACTGGGGATGTGCCTGCAACCAATGTACATACCCTTGACCAGAATCGAACCTGGGACCCTTCAGTCCACAGACCGACGCTCTATCCACTGAGCCAAACCAGTTTCGGCTCGGTGCTAATATTTTCTTACATGTAATCAGTTTCTCTTTATATATGTAGAGGGTGTCCTCCACTTTAACTCATTTTTTGAAAACGTATGTTAATAAACGCTGACTTTGTAAGGATTTTTCCGGGGACACCCTGTATATGTTTTGCTCAACCATTTCAGAGTTAATTGAAGGCACCATGGCATGTCAATCCTAAATGCAGGAGATGTGCAGTATCTCAATAAGAAAAAAGACAGCATCCCAGTAACCACCATCTACCATTGTAATCGTCAGGAGATGTATCCTTCATTTAATGCTGGTACCGAGCGCAGGGTCTTATTCACATTTTTCCAATCGTCCCCAAAATGCACTCTTTCCTTTTCTTTTGGTTCTGGATCCATTCCTCACACCATACACAAGAATAGACTTTAAATGATGAGAGTCTAAACATAACGAAACTGCAGAAGTAGGAAAAAATATGGGTGAATTCCTCCGTAACAGGGATGGGGGAAGGCTTTCTAGGTGCAATTAAAGATGAAGACATGCCGAAGCCGGTTTGGCTCAGTGGATAGAGCGTCGGCCTGCGGACTGAAAGGTCCCGGGTTCGATTCCAGTCAAAGGCATGTACCTTGGTTGCGGGCACATCCCCAGTAGGAGGTGTGCAAGAGGCAGCTGATCGATGATTCTCTCTCGTCGATGTTTCTAACTCTCTATCCCTCTCTCTTCCTCTCTGTACAAAATCAATGAAATATATTTAAAAAAAAAAAAAAAAAGATGAAGACATTTCACTACATAAAATCCCCTTTAACCTTCTCACAGCCAAGACATCATAAGCAACGTGACAAGACAGCTGACAAGTAGGTTAGGAATTCTGAGGAGTCACAGAGGCAGACAGGCTGTCACCTGAGGGCCCCTGAGGCAGATCCATACACAACCAGCTGGTGGCAGTGGCCAGCCAGGCAGCCCCACATCCGATGCCGCACCCTTTCCAGAAATGCTAATGAGCATCTTGAGCTTTTCTCTCACACCTGCTAGGGTTGCTGTTATCAAGAAAGCAAAGGTAAATGCGGGCCAGGATGAGGAGAAAAGGCAACCCCTGTGCGCTGTTGGTGGGAAAGTGACTTGGTGTGGCCACTCTGGAAACCAGTATGAAGGGTCCTCAGAAAATTCAGAGTAGAACTGCTGTAGGTTCCAGCAATTCAACTTCTGGGTCCATATCCAAAGGAAATAAGAACAGGATCTCAATGAATATCTGCCCTCCCATCACAGCAGTGCCTCAAGGCATAGCAAAACCTAAGTGCCCGCCGAAGCCGGTTTGGCTCAGTGGAAGAGCGTCGGTCTGCGGACTGAAGGGTCCCATGTTTGATTCGGTCAAGGGCATGTACATTGGTTGCGGGCACATCCCTGGTAGGGGTGCGCGGGGGACAGCTGGTCGGTGTTTCTCTCTCATCGACGTTTCTAGCTCTCTATCTCTCTCCCTTCCTCTCTGTAAAAAAATCAATAAAATATATTAAACACACACACACACACACACACAAAACTAAGTGCCCATTGAAGGATGGATGGATAAAGAAAACGAGGCACATATACGCAATGGAATATTATTCAGCCTTTTCCTTCTCTAAAAAAAGGAAATCCTGCCCTGACCGGTTGTGTTGGCCTGCAGACTCAAGGGTCCCAGGTTTGATTCTGGTCAAGTGCATGTACCTTGCTTGCAGGCACATCCCCAGTGGGGGGCAAGCAAAAAGCAGCTGATCGATGTTTCTCTCTCATTGATGTTTCTAGCTCTCTATCCCTCTCCCTTTCTCTCTGTAAAAAGTCAATAATATATATATATATATATATTTTTTTTTTTTTTTTTTTTAAAGAAGGAAATCCTGCCATTTGTGACAGCATGGATGAACCGGAGGACACTGTGCTAAGTGAATCAGCCAGACGCAGAGGAAAAAACACTGCATGGTCTCACTTACATGTAGAATCTAAATCGCCAAGCTCAGAGAAGCAGAGAGTAGAGTGGTGATTTCCAGGGGCTGAGGGGAGGGGAGACGGGGAGGTGTTGGTCAAAAGGTACAAAGTTTCAGCTGTGCAAAAGGATTGCATTCTGGAAATCGAATGGACAACACGATGCCCATAATTAATGGCACTGTATTCTTAAAATTTGCTGCGAGTTGATCTGAAGTATTCTCACCACACACCAAAAAACGACCATGTGAGGGGATGATATGTAAATTAACTTGCTTATGGTCATCTTTTCGCCGTGTATATGTATACTGAAACAGGTACCACCATATCACAGTCAGTTTATTTATATATTAGAGGTCTTTCTTCCCCTGGCTGCCAGCACCACCTTCGCTCTGGCCCGGAGCTGCCTTCCACCTCTCTACTTGTGTCAATTTGCATATTCCCTCCTTATTGACTGTGGGTGTCACCATCTTTATCCAGGAGTTACGGTCAATTTGCATATTCTGTCTTTATTAGATAAGAGGATATATATATATATATATATATATATATATATATATATATAATTGATTTCAGAGAGGAAGAAAGAGAGACAGAAACATTAATGATGAAAGAGAACCGTTTATAGGCTGCCTCCTGCATGCCCTTCATTGGGGATCGAGCTTGCAACCAGGGCATGTGCCCCTGACCAGAATCGAACCCAGGACCCTTCAGCCAACAGGCCGATGCTCCATCCACTGAATCAAACTACCCAGGGCAGCACAATCAGTTTTTAAGGCCCCCAGCTGGCCAGGTTGAGAGAACAGGGATCCTAGGCAGAAAGCACACAGGTCTGGCTCAGAGGCGGCCCATCAGCACTGGGCAGCCCCCTTGCTGTGACAGCACCGCCCCAGTGCTCAGCATTTGACTCTCCCTATGTAGGTCATGTGACCCCCTGTGGTTATCACTGTGGCTCAGGTGTGGTCAATCACCTGGGTGTGCTTCCCCTGACCCTTGTGCAATTCTGTGCTGTAGACAAGACATCTGACGTCCACCTGACCAGCATTTCCTTGTTCCATCATCATGGCTACGCTGAGCAGCCCATGGAACTTAACTCCATTGTGAAGACGGAAAACCAGAGTCTGAGCAGAGTGGTGACCCCCTGGGGACAAACTCAAGTTGCAGGCCTGGGTCTAGCTGATCCAAAGTCCCAATTCCTATCCACTACATGTGGGGGGACCCCAAAGGGAAGTGCTCTAAGAGTCTTCCTAAACCGGATTGAACAACGGTGTCCATGGCAACCGGAACAAGGCCATTACTAGACACTTAGGGCGTTTTCAATTGCTGCCTAGTCGTGAGTTTCCCTGAAGTAAGCATGCCAGTGCTTAGAGCATCGCCCAAATCCTTCACTCAGGAGTGCTTTTGCAGTTCTTAAGAGCAACAGGTATCAATTGCCGTGTCACTTTCTAGAAGGATTAGCCCCATAGAGACTCCTCCTGGCAGTTCTAATGGAAACACTTCCGTGTACCCTGACCAGGTAGCTCAGTTGGTCAGAGCATCACCCCAATACTCCAAGGTTGCAGGTTCATTTTCTGGTCGGGCCCATACAAGAAGCAGCCAATGAATGTGTACATACGTGGGACAACAAATCAGTGCTTCACGCTCGCTCTCTCTCCTTCTCTCTAAAATCAATAAAATAAAATTAAAAAATAAAATAGAAAACACTTTCTCACAATTGGTATGTCCCCTGGCCTCGGTCTGCCTTGGGAAGCAGCCTGTCCCTGCAGAGTTCCAGGGCCATGTGACTGTACCCAGGGCTGCTAAGGCCAGGGGGGCACTGGCATTGACGCAGGGGGGACTCAAGCATCTTGAGGAACCTCCCCAGTCTCTGTGCCTTGTGGGCTAAAGATGAAAGTCCTGATTCTCTCTTTCCTCTTCCAAGTTCCCCCTTGCTCCTTACTACTTCCGCTCACGCTTCCCCCCAGGTCCTTGGGAGCTGCCACCCCCGACTGGGCCTCCTGAACAGGGTGCTCCATGTCAGGCTGAGCTGGCCTCATCTCAGTGATGCAGGACCACAGTGGTGAAGGCGACTCCTTCCAGCTTCCATTCACTCAGCTTTTACAAATGCCAAGCCACGGGCTCTGGGCTCTGTGTATATAATCTCCGTGCATCCTGGCCTCAGTCCTAGGAATGCCCGATAGGTGCCGTTATTAGCCCCACTTTCCAGCGGAGGCTCCAAAGATGAGAGGACTTGTTCAAGGTCAAGTAGCCAGCAAATGGCAGAGCTAGGATTTGAACCTGCGTCTCAGTGACTGCTGAGGCCGCTCCTGTGATGTCAAATGGCCTTTGCCAGATGGAAATAGGCCCTAACACTGATGCTGTCCATCCAAGCAGAGGCAAACCAGGACTGTGCTCCAGACCACATTTATCTCCCTGCTCTGTGTCCTGTGGTTCTTTTCCTTGGATCTTTCCAGGCTTCTTCCTACAAGCACCGATTCTACACACACCCCTCCTTCCCTGGCCTCTGGGAGACAGGGAGGTAGTGGCCTGGCTGCCCCGCTGACCTGGGATGGTGACATCAAGTCCTCACCCTGGCCTGGCTCCTGAGTACCAGGGGCAGACTGGTCCCTTGGGAAGAAGGACTTAGGCTGCAAAACTCAGCCATTCAGGAGCCACTGGTGCAGGCTGTTATCGCCACACACAGACACTAGTGGTGAGAGCCCGTGTGCCGGTGGCCTGGACACAGGACCAGCAGGCCCTGCCCCTCGCTGTGAGGGGCTGCGAGCTGGTGGGGGACACAGGCAGGTAAGTCATTTAGGACCAATAGAATAATAGCAACAGCAATGCATTCTGCCCTAACTGGTTTGGCTCAGTGGTTGAGCATTGACCCATGAACCAGGAGGTCACAGTTCAATTCCTGGTCAAGGCACATGCCTGGTTTGTGGGCTCAATCCCCAGTGTGGGGCATGCAGGAGGCAGCCGATCAGTGATTCTCTTTTATCATTGCTTTTTCTATCTCTCTCTCCCTCGCCATCCTCTCTGAATTCAATCAAGATATATTAAAAAACAACAAACAGCCAAAACTGGTTTGGCTCAGTGGATAGAGCATCGGCCTGCAGACTGAAAGGTCCCAAGTTTGGTTCTGGTCAGGGGCATGTACATTGTTTGTGGGCACATCCCCGGCAGGGGGTGTGCAGGAGGCAGCTGGTCGATGTTCTAGCTCTCCATCCTTCTTCCTTCCTCTCTGTGGAAATTTAATAAAATATATTTATTAAAAAAAAAAAAAAAAACAGCCGGGACCGGTTTGGCTCAATGGATAGAGCGTCGGCTTGGGGACTGAAGGGTCCCGGGTTCGATTCCGGTTAAGGGCATGTACCTTGGTTGTGGGCATATCCCCAGTAGGGGGTGTGCAAGAGGCAGCTGATCGATGACTCTCTCTCATCGATGTTTCTAACTCTCTATCTCTCTCCCTTCCTCTCTGTATAAAAAATCAATAAAATATATTTAAAAAACAAAACAAAAACAAAAAACAAAACAAAACACAATGCCTTCCAATGAAGGAATGTGTGCTCAGCACCAGGCCTGGGGTTTGGGGCTTGATCCAGTGTTGTTTCAATATGCAAGGGCTCAAAGAGATAGACGCTACTGTCACCCCCATTTGACAGGGAGGGAAACTGAGGCTCAGAGAGTCTAAATGGTACCGAAGGTCACGCAGAACCGCGAGGCTCTGCGATTCCAAACATGTCGTGTACTCTCTCTAAAGGCGAGATACCTCAGGGACGGAGGGCAGGGAGGGGGGTGGAGGACCACAGGAGGTCTGGCGACGTGAGTGACAGGGGAGAAGGGAAGGGCTGGCACCAGGCAGGGGGCTCAGAAGGAGCAGAGGTGTGGCTCTGTGTAAGGAGCAGGGTGTTCAGAGAAGGGGGAGCAGGAGGGGTTGGAGGTGGAGGTGAAAGTGGAAGTGAGAAAGGGGCCCTAGGACTAGAAGGTGAGGGCCCCAGATGCCAAGCTCAGAGCTGGGCCTCAGTCCTGCAGGTGCAGAGGAAGCGGCAGACCTAAAGGTGCTGGGATGAGATGTGTGCCAACCATGGACGTGGCCGTGGGGCTGGAGGAGCGCCTGGGAGGAGACGCTGGTTCCCAGCCACATCACCCCTGTCCCAGTCCCCAGCTCTCCCCAGGCCAGTGGCAGGAAGACAGAAATGACTAGAACTTCCCCAGGAGGCCAGGACAAGCAGATCAATACTTGCCTTTCTCTCTCTCTCTCTCTCTCTCTCTCTCTCTCTCTCTCTCTCTCTCTCTCTCTCATTTTAAACAATTGATTTTAGAGAGAGAAAAAGAGAGAAAGAAACATTGATCAACTGCCTCCTACACACCCCCTACTTGGAATCAAGCCTGCAACCCAGGCATGTGCCCTGACCTGGAACTGAACCAGTGGCCTCTTGGTGCATGGAATGATGCTCAATCCCCTGAGCCACACCAGCTAGGCTGCCTTCCTCTCTCAAAAGCTATATCTCTAGCCCTTGGCAGCGTTGCTGAGTGGTTAGAGTGTTCCCTGGAGCATAGAAGGGTTGCGGGTTCAATTCAAAGTCAAGAGCACATACCTGGGTTGCATGATTGATTCCTGGACAAACAATCTCTCTCCCTCTCTCCACTCCCTCCCTTCCACTCTCTCTAAAAATCAATGGGGAAAAATTGAGGATCACAACAACAACAAAAAAGCGATGCTACTGGAGGCAAATGCTCAACCCAGTTAGGGGTTTCCTTTTTTAAAAAAAAATATATTTTATTGATTTTTTATAGAGAGGAAAGGAGAGAGATAGAAACGTCATGAGAGAGAAACGTCAACCAGCTGCCTCTTGCACACCCGCTACCAGGGATGTCAACCAGCTGCCTCTTGCACACCCCCTACCAGGGATGTGCCCGCAACCAATGTACATGCCCTTGACTGGAATCGAACCTGGGACTTTTCAGTCTGCAGACCGATGCTCTACCGCTGAGCCAAACCAGCTTCGGCCAGTTAGGGGTTTTCTTAAATAGAGGTGTTTCGGGCAGGACAGTGGGAATATTTGTGGATAGGGAGGGGCTTATCACCATCCATGATCAGAAGCAAATTGGAGTCTTGCCTACTAAATAGAAAGAACCCTTTCGTTTCACCTTTTAACAACTTCCTCTCTCTGGATTCCTGCTGCCTTAGCCCATCTGGTTTCAGCTCACTTCTGCTTTAGCGGCGAAAGCAGAACCTATGGGCAGTGGGCTTAGAAGAGGGTGGCCTGTGAGACTCTAGACCCTCAGGCCCTCCCCGGGAGCCTGTGCCTTTAAGGGAAGGGGCGGGGCTAGCTCCAGGGGGCGTGTCATCGGGCTGGGGCGGGGTAAGGGGCGGGGCGCGGGCGAGGCGAGCTCGGGACCAGCTCCGGGACCAGCCCGGACACCAGCGCCAGGGCGGGCGGCGGGGGTCAGCGGGCGGGGACTGGGAAGGCCGTGCGGGGCCCCGCGAAGCCGACGTTCGGAGGTTGCGGGTCCGAGGCCCTGCAGGAGGTAAGAGGAGCCTGGCTGCCCGCCGGGGCGCCGCGGGGAGACTGGCACTCCGAGTCCAACTTCTCAGCCCCGGCCGGGCTGGGCAAGCAGCCCCTGGAGGTTCTCGGGGTCTCGTGTCTGCAAAGAGCAGCCGCCTGGGTGGTCGCGATCCCAGTTTCCCGCTTTCCTCTCAGGTTTGCAGAACTTCCCAGCGTCCCGAGCGCGCAGGAGGCGCCCCCGAAATGCCCCCCTGAGATTGAGTCCCCGAACCCCCGGGACCAGGAACAGGGAGGCGGGTGCCGATCCTCGCGTCGGGGGATCGTGCATCTATCGAACCCCTATTGTATGCCAGGAGGAGCCAGCATTTGTCTCCATTTGACGGGCGGATCAGTGGCTCAGAGGTTGGAACTGAGCCCCCCAACATTGGATCCCTGGAGGCTCCGGTTGCGGGTTAGCGCTTCCGAGTCGGGGACGAGGGAGGCCGAGGACCACCGAGGAGGCTGGAGCCAACAGGTGATGCCAGATGCTTGGCCGGCCGCTGCTGTCCCTGCCCTCTCCCTCTTCCTCCTCCGGGCCTCCTCCCGCCCCGGCTAGGACGTTGAGAAACGCCTGTGCAGAGAGGATTACACACACACACACACACACATACACACACAAAAACAACAACAACGTTGTGTTCTGGGCGGTGTTTTTCTTGCAAAAAATAAAACATGCTCCTCCAGAACGTGTGGGGGGAGCCCAGAGAAGGAAATTAATGTGCCAAAGGGACCTCCCCCCACCACCCCTGGTGTTTCTTAGGAAGAAAAATGAAGTCGTTTTTGCCCCGATGTTGACTGAGGGAAGACGCTGAGTACAGCCGGAATCTGCTCTTAGGCTGTGACTGAGCCGTTCACTTCCCTCTGGGCCTCCGTCTCCTTATCGAAGGCGGTGTTGGTCTGGTGACCTCCTTGCTGTGTGACCTGGGGCAGCTGGAGGAACTTCTCTGAGCCCAGCTCCTTCCTCTGGAAAAGGGGCGGGACCTGACCCGCTCCAGAGGTGTCCTGAGACCTAGAGGGAGGAGGCCACCGCTGGCTCTGGCTCCAGGTGGCTCCTCTGTAGGATGGGAGCAATAGCAGCACCCCCTCCAGGCGATTTGGGGGATGAAGTGAGGTCATCTGTCATTGGTTTTCCTTTGGGTGGGGCAGGGGGGACCCCCTTGGTTGAAAAAGTTTCAGGCCCCTCCTGCAGGGTCTCAGGGTCTTCAGTGACACTGTCCCTCCTTCTCACCCCCAACCCGCAGCGGCTGGAGCTGCCAGCCCTTTGAAACCGAACCACCGCAGACGCAGACGGGAAGCAGAGGGTTTGGGCCAGGCCCCGTGGGGGCTGATGGCCGGCGGACGAAGGAATGGGCACCGAGTGCTGTGTTGGCTCTGTGTGCTGCTGACGGTGGAGAGAGTGCCCGGGGCCTGGGGCCTGTCTACAGAGGCCCACACCAGCCCCCCATTTCCAGCCTCAGGCGTGAACCAGACCCCCGTGGTAGACGTGAGTATCCAGGCGGAAAGCTGGCATCGGGTAGGGGTGAATTCACCCCATCAACAAGTGTTTATTGGGCATCTCCTATGTGCCAGGCGATAAGCTGATCTCTGGGATATACCAGGGAACAACAGAGAGAAAAATCCCTGCCTTCATGGAGCGAACAGTCTCCTGGGAGGTCAGATAAAGAAGTAAACAAGTGCCCTCGCCGGCTTGGCTCGGCGGATAGACTGTCGATCTGTGGACTGAAGGGTCTGGGGTTCGATTCTAGTCAAGGGCACATACCCCATCACGGACTGGATCCCCAGTAGGGGCCTGCAGGAGGCAGCTGATCATTGATTCTCATCCTTGATGTTTCTCTCTCTCTCTCCCTCTCCCTTCCTCTCTGAAATCAATAAAAAAATATATCTATTTTAAAAAGAAGTAAACATGTAAGCTTCAGGTGGTAAGATGCTGCAAATAGGATCAAGCGCTATTGGGGAGGCGGGGCTGTAAGGCGGAGGGTATATCTCCAACTGTTTCAGATTGGCTGGTCACAGATGGCTTTTAGGAGCCACGCTCTGAATGAAGGAAAGAAGCCTCTTGTACAGCCCTCCGAGGGTAGGGCATTCTAGGCAGAAGAGAACAGCCAGGGCAAAGGTCCTGATGCAAAAACAAGCTTTGTGTGTTCCTGCAGGAGCGAGGGGTCCAGAATGGCTGGAGCAGCATGAGGGGAAGAGAGTTAACAGACAAGGAGGGACAAGAGGTCGTGGTGGCCAGATTATAAAAGGCCTTACATGCTGGGGCCAGGAGGTTAGATGTGTTTTATGAGAGTGAAGAGCCAATGGAGGGCTTTAAGCAGAGGCAGGTCAAAAATCCGGCTTATTTTTTTCAAGGGACTCTCTCTGGCTTCTTCTGGGAGAATGGGTTGAGAGGGGTGAGAGGGACAGCCAGGGCACCGTGGGGAGGGAAGGCTCCCGCAGCTGTCCAGATAAGCAATGGTGGGGCTGGGAGGTAGGAAAGAAGTGGTGAGATTTGGGATAAATGTAGGAGGATGGATTAGCTGGCGGGCATGGTGGTGGGAGAAAGAGGAGTTAAGGATGGCTTCAGGTCCCTGACCTCAGCCCCTGGGCCGATGGCGGTGACATGGACTTGGCTGCACGGAGCGAGAAGCAGCGGGTCCCTAGGGTGAACGAGGCAAGCAAGGGAGGGTGCAGGCTGCTGAGAACTGGCACCATTCCGTTCTGAGGTCTGGAAGGGTGGAGACCTCACGGGAGATCAGGGGCCAATGGCTAAAGGCAGGGTCTGCTCAAGACAATGCCCTCCCCTCTACTCCCCCCCTCCCCTGCCCCCCAGTCCCTTCCAGCTCCAGGGCTGAAGTTCCACCCTGTATCACCCACTTTATGGGGCTGCTAAGTGCTTCCTTGCTCACCCCCTGAGGCCGGCGGACGGGTAATTAGGCCATTGTACCGGTGGGGAAAGCCATTTGTGGTTACGGTGGTTATGACATCCACGGCTGCCTCCTGGGGCGTGCTTGTAGGATGCAAGGAAACGGGGGTGAGCTGTAGTTTGTGTGGGATTATCTCTGGCTTACCAAGCACTGTGCCAGGCTCACCAAACCCTCCCACAGCCCCTGATCCGCGTATGATTGTCTCTGCGCCAGAGAAGCGGACACAGGTCCCCGAGGCACCTTGGCCACGAGGGAAGGGGCAGGATCAGGGTTTGAGCGTGTGGAAAAACAGCACCCTAGACTTGCTGGACGCAGGGCTGTTGCAGACACCCCGGTGACACACGCAGATCTGGGAAGCGCCCAACAATGGAAAACGAGGTATTTCTGCAACTTCTCATCTCTGGTTGCCTCCGGAGGAACCCAGACTAGGGTCCGATCTGACTCAGCACTTTCACTTCTGGAATCCTCTGGGACAAAATAGTCTCACGTGTGCCTGCAGAGTCACATGTGAAGAAGTTCACTGTTAATATTATTTGGGAAATCAGACACACCCAAATGCCCACCGGGAAGGAACTGTTATCTCCGCCATGTACCTTTCATAGTGTGAAATACTACGGTGCTGTTAAAAAGAGTGCAGTGAGCCCCGAGCCAGTGTGGCTCAGTGGATAGAGCATCAGCCCACAGACCAAAGGGTCCCGGGTTCTATTCCAGGCAAGGGCACATACCTCGGTTTGCAGGCACGATCCCCGGCCCTGGGCATGTGCTACAGGCAACCAATCCATGTCTTTCTCTCACATCGGTGTTTCTATCTCTCCCCTCGCTCCCTTCCACTCTCTCTAAAAATCCATGGGGAAATATCCTCAGGTGAGGATTCACAAAACAAAACAGAAAAAGACTGCGGTGAGGCAGGGGCTGTGGTGGTAGGAAAAGGGTTTCTAGAGCCTCCGATGGCTGGGGCCCATCCCTGACGGTGCCTCGGAGTGGAACCAGGACACTGCCTCATAAGTCTCCCTTATCTGTCTGTGGGCACGGAAATAGTGCCTTCCTCACAGGCTGTTGTGCAGATTAATTTACTGAGATGCATTTAAGCTCCGGACACTTTTCCTGGCATCTATGATAGAAACCCCTCAGGATGTTTTGGCTTTTATCACTCTCTTCATCATTGTGTATCCATATGGCAGTACTAGAGGCCCATTCTATTCTATTCACCAGTTTATTCTGTTCATCAGAGGCCCAGTGCACAAATTTTGTGCACGGGTAGGATCCCTAGTGGCTGCTGGCTGCCAGTTGCCAACCAGGGTCTCCCTTCCCCTGGCTGCCTGCTGTTACCACCAGCTAGGGCCTCCCTTTGCACCCGTGTTGGCCTGGCGCCGCCCGCTCACCTGCTCCACCATCCCGCCATGGTCCACCTCCACTGCCCCTTGCTGCCAGCGCCACATGGCTGACGCCCGCCATGTTCTCTGCTGCCCCCTGGTGGTCAGCGCACATCTAACCCTGTCGGTCAAACTCCTGCCCACGGGGACAATTTTCATATTAGTCTTTTCTTATATGGGATAAGGCATATATGTGAAGTGGTAAAAACAAATCACAGGAAGAAAAGATTTAGGATGGGGCTGTTTATTTTTCTTTCTTTTTAAAAAAATAAATCTTTATTGTTCAGATTATTACAATTGTTCCTCTTCCTTCCCCCCCATAGCTCCCCTCCATCTGGTTCCCACCTCACCCTCTTCCCTCACCCCCCACCCCCGTCCCCACCACTGTCCTCATCCATAGGTGTATAATTTTTGTCCAATCTCTTCCCACACCCCCACACCCCTTTCCCCCTGAGAATTGTCAGTCCACTCCCTTTCTATGCCCCTGATTCTATTCTATTCACCAGTTTATTCTGTTCATCGGATTTTTTATTCACTAGATTTTTAGATTCACTTGTTGATAGATATGTATTTGTTGGCCATATTTTTTTTTAATTTCTTTATTGATTAAGGTATCACATATTTGTCCTCATTCCCCCATTCCCATCCCCCACCCCTCCCCACAAATGCCCCCACCTCCCTGTTGTTCTTGACCACGGTTTAGGCCCATATCATCTTTTTTATCCCCACCTCCCTCTGAAGTCCAACAGTCTGACCCATGGCTCCTTATCTCTGGGTCTGTTCTTTTTTTTTGGGGGGGGGGCATTTTATCATTTTTATTGCATAACAACCATTAATGAAGTATAGTCCCAGGCGCCTTAATTGCCTGGGGACTAACGTTCAATCCCTGTCACCATGCAGGCCGGCGTGGTGGGTCTGTTCTTGTTCATCCGTCTGTGTTGATCATCATTTCCCCTAGATGAGTGAGATCATGGCCTACTGGAAATATACTTATAAGAATCGAAAATGAGACAAGCAATAATGGTTATGCTGAAAGGCAAATGAATCAATCTGTAGTGAGCTTCTTTCTGGGCCAATAGTTCTTTTGAGACCCAATTTCAATGTCAAACAGTTCCTTATGTGTATATATCAGCAATGATATTTCAGTTCTGGATGGTGGGCAAATGGTGGTGATGTTGTTCATAATTTTTATCTTTACCTTTACTTCTTCTTCCTCTTCTTTTTTTAAAATATATTTTATTGATTTTTTATAGAGAGGAAGGGAGAGAAGATAGAGAGTTAGAAACATCAGTGAGAGAGAAACATCGATCAGCTGCCTCTTGCACAGCCCCTACTGCGGATGTGCCTGCAACCAAGGTGCATACCCTTGACCGGTATCGAACCTGGGACCTTTCAGTTTGCAGGCTGACACTGTATCCACTGAGCCAAACTGGTTTCGGCTTCTTCTTCCTCTTCTTAAAGGATACCTTTCAGCATTTCATATAATACTGGTTTGGCGATGATTAACTCCTTTAGCTTTTTTTTTTTGTCTTTGAAGCTCTTTATCTGACCTGCAATTCTGAATGATAGCTTTGCTGGGTAGAGTAATCTTGGTTGTAGGTTCTTGCTATTCATCACTTTGAATATTTCTTGCCACTTCATCTGGCCTGCATAGTTTCAGTTGAGAAATAAGCTGACAGTCGTATGGGTGCTCCATTGTAGCTAACTGTTTTTCTCTTGCTGCTTTTAATATTCTCTCTTTGTCTTTTGCTCTTGGCATTTTATTTTTTTAAATATATTTCTTTATTGATTTCAGAGAGGAAGGGAGAGGGAGGGAGAGAGAGGGAGAGAGAAACATTAATGATGAGAGAGAATCATCGATCAGCTGCCTCTACCACATTCCCTACTGGGGATCGAGCCCAAAACTCAGGCATGTGCCCTTGGCTGGAATCGAACCTGGGACCCTTCAGTCCAATGCTCTGTCCACTGAGCCAAACCAGCCAGGGCATGCTCTTGGCATTTTAATTATGATGTGTCTTGGTGTGGTCCTCTTTGGATTCCTTTTGATTGGGGTTCCTGTGCTTCCTGGACTTATAAATGTCTATTTCTTTCACCAAGTGGGGAAAGTTTTCTGTCATTATTTCTTCAAATAGGTTTTCAGTATCTTACTCTCTCTCTTCTTCTGGCACCTCCATAATTCAGATGTTGGTATGCTTGAAGTTGTCCTAGAGACTCCTTTACACTATCTTCATATTTTTGGATTATTTTTTCTTTTTGCTTTTCCAGTTGGGTGTTTTTTGCTTCTTTGTATTTCAAATCTTTGACTTGATTATAGCGATCCTCTAGTTTGATGTTGGATCTCTGTATATTTATTTTTTATTTCAGTCAGTGTATGCTTAATTTCTAGTTGGTCCTTTTTCATATTCTCGAGGGACTCGCTAAATTTATCGGCCTTTTCTAGAAAATTCTTGAAAAACCTTATAACCGTGGTTTTGAACTCTATATCCAGTCGTTAGCTTTCCTCCATTTCTTTCCTTTGTGACCTGTTTCTTTGTCTCTGCATCTGGGCTGCTTCCCTGAGTTGACAAGAGTGGCTTTGTGTGCTAGGTGTCCTATAGATCTCCCCAGTTACCTGAGGTGGACACCCTTGGTACACCCCTTTGTAGGCTGTGTGCACAGTCTTATAGTTAAGCCTTGATTGTTGTTGGTATCACTGGGGAAATTACCTCCATGCTAATTGGCTGTGAGGATCAGCTGTGTCTACGCTGGGAGAACTTCTGTGCTGGAGACACCCTTATGAGACAAGACTTGCTTCAGTGGGGCTTTGGTGCTCACTGAGTCTGCCCTCTGAGTATGTCCCTTATGGATCTGAGGAGTTATATTCTAGATGGTCCCACTCTGATCCCTGGGTACACTGGCTCTTGGATCTCCTAGGAGGTGCTAATTTAGCCTCTGCCTGAGGCTACCCAGCAGGAGCTACGGAGAGATCTGCAGATTCCTCTTCTTCGTTTGGGTTTTTGGAGGTGCCCAGATGAGGCCCAGCTATGAAGCAATTGGATGCTGCTATGGGGCTTTGGGCCTTCTTTTGGATGTTCTGGGTCTCACTGACTCAGCTGCAGTTGGTTAGGTAAAGTTATATTTCAAAGGACCAGGTCAATAATATGCAAAAGCCTCTGCGCTCAGCTTGGATGGGATGGTGTCTCAGAGCGGAACAAACAGCAATGGCTTCCCGTCAGCCCTGCCCTAAGAGTCCCCTGGGTCTCAGTGTCCTGCAGTAATTGCTGCAAGCACCTCTGAGAGAAAGCCACCCTTGAGTTCCGCCTGCTTCCAGACAATCCAATTTCTCCCTGTATGAGTCTGGGTCCCCAGAGTCTCGCCCAGAACTGGAGTTCAGAGCAGTCAGGAGCTTGTGTCTCCCTCCCGATTGAGAAAGCCAGCCACCTACTCAGTTGCCAGCCTTCTCCGCGCGTGTGTCTCAGTACCTCTGCCTTCCGCACTTCCTGTAAGTCTCAGTGTGCTTTTCTCTTTCCTTCTCGTTGTAGAATTTCCACTCAGCCAGCCTTCCTATGGTTCTGGATGATGTCTGTTTTGTCTTTTAGCTGTAGTTTTGAAGTTGTTGTGCGAGGCAGCAGTTTAGGTGTTTACCGATGCCGCCATCTTGGTCTCTCTCTCTCTCTCTCTCTCTCTCTCTCTCTCTCTCTCTCTCTCTCTCTCAACTTGCATTCTGGTTAAAAAAGAATTCAGAGCCAAGACTCAAAACTGTAAGAACATGTTTATTTTGAAAGTCACAAGTAGAAGTGATCCGTAGGAGAAACGGGCTCAGGAAACAAGTTATAGAGGCAAAGGAAGGGCTGTTGGAGCTTAAGAGAAAGAGAGGGCCAGGGAAATGCCCCTGGGGAGCCTGGGGGGAGGGCGCAGGTGTGCTCCATAGAGAGAGACACTGGGATGGATCCGTTTCTGTAAAACAAACCAAAGTGTAACATGGGGTGTACATCCAAATGTCTTCACATTGAGATATGTCTGTCAGGTGCGCTTCCAACTGACCATGGCGGGATCTCTGGGGAGAGGTGGGATCACGGAAGGCAGGGATGAGGAGGGGAACTCTAGAGATCTTTACGTATTGTTTATTGTTTTTGTTTGAAACAAACATGTACTCATGAATAGCTGGTGTTAATTTCCAGCACAAGTTTATTTTTAAAAGATTACAGTGTGTTGCCGAAACCAGTTTGGGTCAGTGGATAGAGCGTTGGTCTGCAGACTGAAAGGTCCTAGGTTTGATTCTGGTCAAGGGCATGTACCTTGGTTGCGGGCACATCCCCAGTGTGGGGGGTGCAAGAGGCAGCTGGTCGATGATTCTTTCTCATCGATGTTTCTAGCTATCTATCCCTCTCCCTTCCTCTCTGTGAAAAATCAATAAAATATATTTGAAAAATCGATAATATATATATATATATATATATATATATATATATATATATATATGTTAAGATTACAGTGTGTAAGAGAGAGCAGGCTGAAGGAGTCACCTTCCCCTGTTTAGGGGGGCCCGCTCTGGTCACCCGTGGCCTGTGGGCCTCTGACGTCCCGCCCCCCCCCCCCCCCCCCCCCCCCCCCCCCGCTTCCTCCCTGCAGTGTCGTGACGTGTGCGGCCTGAACGCCTCCGACCGCTGCGGCTTCGTCCGGACCAACCCTGACTGCCGCAGCGAGGGCGGCTACCTGGACTACCTGGAGGGCATCTTCTGCCACTTCCCCCCCAGCCTGCTCCCCCTGGCCATCACCCTCTACGTGAGCCCCGCTGGGGAGCTGGGGGAGGAAGCTGGGGGGGGGGGGGCGTGGGCGGGGCGCCGGCCCAGGCAGGACTTACCCTTCCCTCTCCGGCCCCACCCAGGCTCTCTGGCTGCTCTACCTGTTTCTGATCCTGGGAGTCACCGCCGAGAAGTTGTGAGTTGGCCTTGGGCTCAGGGTAAGGTGACCACAGTCCCGATTTTTAACAATGTGTCCCGAGTCCCGCGGCGCTTTAAAAAAGTCCTGATTGCTGAAACCAGTTTGGTTCAGTGGATAGAGCGTAGGCCTGCGGACTAAAAGGTCCCGGGTTCGATTCCGGTCAAGGGCATGTACCTTGGTTGCGGGCGCATCCCCAGGAGGGGTTGTGCAAGAGGCAGCTAGTCGATGATTCTCTCTCATCGATGTTTCTAACTCTCTATCCTTCTCCCTTCCACTCTAAAAAAAAATCAATAAAATATATATTTTTTAAAATAAATAAAAAATAAATTAAAAAGTCCCAATTTTTGGCCAAAAAATTTAAAGCGCCACGGTACACGGGACAAATTGTTAAAAATCGGGACGTCTGGTCACCTTAGCTCAGGGGTCTTAGGGCGACCCCAGGTTTGGGGGGCAGGGTGGGCGCAGGGGGTCCCTCCCTGTAGCATCCTCACCATTTGCTTTGTGCCCGCAGTTTCTGCCCTAACCTGTCAGCTATTTCCATGACGCTCAAGCTGTCCCACAACGTGGCAGTATCCTTTCGTGGGCCCTGCGCCCTGGCGGGAAGGCAGGAGGGGGGGCGCGGGGAGGTGGGGACACAGGTGGCAGCCCTAGGAACGACCTGGGCAGGCCGGGTAAGGTGACCAGACGACCCACTTTTGGCGGGACAGTCCCGATTTTTAACAATTTGTCCCCCGTCCCTCGGCGTTTTAAAAAAAAAGTCCCGATTTATTCCAAAAATCGGGACTTTTTAAAAACGCCTCGGGACATGGGACAAATTGCTAAAAATCTGGACGTCTGGTCACTTAAGGCCGGGGCCTCGGCATAGACCCCCCCTTGACACGCTCCCCCATGGCGTCACCTTCCTGGCGTTCGGCAACGGCGCTCCCGACATCTTCAGCGCGCTGGCAGCCTTCTCGGACCCGCACACGGCCGGCCTGGCCTTCGGGGCGCTGTTCGGTAGGCGCGGCCAGGGCAGCGGGCAGAGTAGGTGGCACGGGGAGGGTGGCAGGGGGAGGGCTGAGCACATGTGACCTATCCCCCAGGCGCCGGCGTGCTGGTGACCACCGTAGTGGCGGGCGGCATCGCCATCCTGCGCCCCTTCACGGCCGCCTCCCGGCCCTTCCTCCGGGACATCGCCTTCTACATGGCGACCGCCTTCCTGACCTTCACCGCCCTCTACCGCGGCCGCGTCACGCTGGCCTGGGCCCTGGGTGAGCGGCCGCCAGGCCGGGCGGGGCTGTGCCGGGGCCGAGGGGCGGGAAGCACGGGGGACGGGACGGACGGGGTGGCCAGCAGGGCACAGGGCTCCTCTGGGGCCAGGTGATGGGAGCCCTGCTCAGGGAGGGTTCGAGGGAGAAAAGGGGCATCTGGTCCGGGAGCCAGAGGGGCAGGCGGAGCCAGGGCCGGTGTTCAGACTCCGCACCATTTCTTTTTCTTTTTCTTAAAATATATTTTATTGATTTTTTACAGAGAGGAAGGGAGAGAGGAGAGAGATAGAGAGTGAGAAACATGGATGAGAGAGAAACATCGACCCGCTGCCTCCTGCACGAACCCCACTGGGGATGTGCCCGCAACCAATGTACATGGCCTTGACTGGAATCGAACCTGGGACCTTTCTGTCCGCAGGCTGATGCTCTATCCACTGAGCCAAACCGGTTTTGGTAGACTCCGCACAATGTCACACGTTAGCAAGCCGAGCCGGATGCCAGCGGCGGGGGTCAGGGTACCAGCAGCGCCCACAGTCTGTCCCGTGGCTCCGCAGCCGGGATGCGGGACAGTGTGCGGGGTTTGAGGAAACCAACCAGGTGCTTGGGATGCACAGGCTGTTCCCACGGGGGCCGTCCCCCCCTCGCCTGAAGGGGCAGGGGATGACCGGTGGCTGGAGCCTCCCCCATCCCCGTCCTGGAGGGTCACAGGCCCTGCCGGAGCCAGCACCACGGCGGGCGGGGGTTGGGGAGGATGCCCACACTCTCTGCCGCCTTTCCACCTGCTGCCAGGCCTCCTGCGGCTGCCACCGGCAGCAGAGCTCAGCGGTGCTGGTGCCAGCCCAGCCTCCGGGGCACAGGGCAGGACGCCACGCGGAGGCTCTGATGGGGAGGCCGCTGTCGGAGTCAGGCCTCACTCGGGGCCTGGATTGTTGGATTGCTTGTAGCCAGGGGGGGCGGGAAGGGATGGGAGGTCCAGGAGGCAGGGGAGGCGGGCGGAGGCTCCATTTGCTGACGCTGGGCAGGGTGCCCACCCCCGGCCACCCCCACAGCACCAGCAATAGAGCTGGCAGCCCTGTTCCCCGGCCCCGCAGCCAGGACGGCACTGGTGACATGTGCCCCCGGCCGCAGGGTACCTCGGCCTGTACGCCTTCTATGTGGCCACCGTGGTTTTCTGCACCTGGATCTACCGGTGGCAGCGGCGCCGGTCCCTGGCCGCCTCCATGCCAGCTACTCCAGGTGAGCAGCTATTCCAGGTGAGCAGCTACTCCAGGTGAGCAGCTACTCCAGGTGAACGTCTGTGTTGGTCCTCACGAGAGGCCCGTGGAGGCTGTCCCCTTGACCCCTCCCTCACCCCCGTACCCTCCATGGCTGCCTGACATCTCCGAGGCCGTGGCCATGCCCATCTCCTCTTCATGCTTTTTCTTTTTTTAAAAAAACATATTTTGTTGATTTTTTTACAGAGAGGAAAGGAGATAAGAGAGTGAGAAACATGGATGAGAGAGAATCATCGATCAGCTGCCTCCTGCACACTCCCTACTGGGGATGTGCCCGCAACCAAGGCACATGCCCTGGACCGGAATCGAACCTGGGACCCTTCAGTCCGCAGGCTGATGCTCTATCCACTGAGCCACACCGGTTTTGGCGTCTCTGTGCTTTTGCGAAATCCCACCTCATGCCCTTGCCTGTGCTGGGGAAGCCTCTCGCGCGGCCTCGTCCACCTTTGCATTGGAAAACGTCTGCCCGTTAGCCTTCCTCGCTCTGAGAAGTCCCGAGCGTGCGTGCGTGGGGATGGCTGAGAAACCGGAACGCCAGAGCAGCTGGCCCTGGCCCCTGGCCCCCTCCGCTGCCGAGGGGCCTGTTCTGGGCGGGGCGGGGCGGGAGGGTCTGGGCACTGGCTGGGGTGACACGCCCCTCGCTCCCCCAGAGATGCTCTCTGACTCCGAGGAGGACGATGACCAGGTGTCTTCTACCACTGCCAGCTATGACTACCGTGAGTTCGAGGCCCGAGCCCGGCGGGGGCGGGGACACCGGGGCTGGAGGGGGAGGGAGGTTCCAGGCCCAGGAGCAAGGCTTCAAACCGCCTCCCCTCCCCTCAACCCCCGCCAGCCCCCGCAACCCCGCACCGGCGAGCTGTGGGCCAGTTCACCTGCCTGCTGCTTCCTCCTCCGAGGGCTGGGAGCGATCCGAGGGCGGGAGGCTTTGCTGGAGGCCAAGCCAGCCCGACACCCCCTCCCCCCTTGTACCTCAGGGGAAGAGTACCAGCCGCTGCTTTTCTACCAGGAGACCACGGCTCAGATCCTGGTCCGGGCCCTCAACCCGCTGGACTGCAGGAAGTGGAGGAGCAAGCCGGCCTACTGGAGGGTCCTCAAGGTGCTCAAGGTAGGAGGGGGCCTGGAACGGGGCGCCTGGCTTCGCGACGGAGCCCACTCAGCCTTTAACTCAGAGAGGACTACTGAGGCCCTCCTGGAGTTAGACAGCGGGGGACTTGGTGGGGAAATTGAGTCCTCGAGGTTGGCTGGTGGCCTGCCCTGGGGCTCAGTCCCTCACGGGGAGAGAGAGGAGGGCACCCCTCCTGCCTGGGTGAGGGCGGGGACTTGGGTGTGGGTGGCAGACTGGGTCCAGGTGGGTTCCAGCGAGAATAAGATAGAGTTTTTCTTTTCTTTTCTTTTTAAAAAATATATTTTATTGATTTTTCACAGAGAGGAAGAGAGAGGGATAGAGAGTTAGAAACATCGATGAGAGAGAATCATCGATCAGCCCCCTCCTGCACACCCCCTACTGGGGATGTGCCCGCAACCAAGGCACATGCCCTCGACTGGAATCAAACCTGGGACCTTTCAGTTCGCAGGCCGACGCTCTACCACTGAGCCAAACCGGTTTCTGCAGGAGTTCTGGATTTAGAATTCTGTCCCCCAGAGCCAGAGGGACTAGGTCTGCGTGGTCCCAGGGCAGCCGTGTGTGTGTGTGTGTGTGTGTGTGTGTGTGTGTGTGTTGTGTGTGGTGTGTGTGTGTGTGTGTGTGTGTGTGTGTGCGTGCGCGCGTGCGTGTGAATGTGATGCAGCAGCAGCAGGAGCCTGATCCGGGCAATAGGAGCCATGTCCTTGAGAAACCAAGCCCAGCCGGCGTGGCTCCATGGTTGAGCGTTGACCTATGACCCAGGAGGTCAGGTTCGATTCCCAGTTGGGGCTTACAGAAGGCAGCCAATCAATGAGTCTCTTTCCTTGATGTTTGTGTCTCTCTCTCTCCCTTCCTCTCTGAAATCAATAAGAATATATATTTTTTCAATATATTTTATTGATTTTTTACAGAGAGAAAGGGAGAGGGATAGAGAGCTAGAAACATTGATGAGAGAGAAACATCGATCAGCTGCCTCCTGCACACCCCCCACTGGGGATGTGCCCACAACCAAGGTACATGCCCTTGACCGGAATTGAACCCGGGACCCTTCAGTCCGTAGGCTGACGCTCTATCCACTGAGCCAGACCAGTTTTGGCAATAAAAATATATATATTTTTAAATAAAATAAACTTAAAAACAACCTTGAGAAACTGAGCTTGGGTGCAACCAGCCCAAGCCGGGTCTCCCCGGTGACCCCTTCCCGCTTTCCCGGACTTGGCAGCTGCCCGCGGAGCTGCTGCTGCTCCTCACCGTCCCCCTGGTGGACCCCGACAAGGAGGACAGGAACTGGAAGCGGCCCCTCAACTGCCTGCAGCTGGCCATCAGCCCCCTGGTCCTGGTCCTGACGCTGCAGTCGGGGGCCTGTGAGTACCCCTCCCCAGGCCAGCCCGCAGCCCTCCTCCCCTCCTCCCTGCGTCCCGTGGTCCACCAGAATCCTGGGCGCCCAGAGGCACTTACTGTGTGCTGGTGTAAGGGACCCCAGCCTCCCAGTCCTGGTCCCACCACCCCTCCCCGACTTCCCCTGTCGTCCTGGGGGGCTTCCGGGAGGAGGCGTCAGGCAGGGCCGTGGAGAGCGCTGCTCCGTCTTCTCCCTCTGCAGATGGCGTCTATGAGATAGGCGGCCTCTTCCCTGTCTGGGGCGTGGTGGTGATCGCGGGCACGGCCGTGGCTGCAGTGACCTTCTTCGCCACGTCCAACAGCGAGCCGCCCAGGCTCCACTGGGTAAGAATGCCGGGGTCCCCGGGCGGGGAGAGGGGGCACTGAGGCCTGTCTGCGCCTCTGGGGTCGCTGGGCCAGGAGTCACTTTCTGCAATGACCGGTCTTTAAAGTAAGGTGACCACAGTCCCGATGTTTAACAATTTGTCCCGCGTCCTGCGGCGTTTTAAAAAAGTCCCAATTTTTGGCCTGGACTGGTTTGGCTCAATGGATAGAGCGTCGGCTTGGGGACTGAAGGGTCCCGGGTTCGATTCCGGTCAAGGGCATGTACCTTGGTTGTGGGCACATCCCCAGTAGGGGGTGTGCAAGAGGCAGCTGATCAATGAATGACTCTCTCTCATCGATGTTTCTAACTCTGTATCTCTCTCCCTTTCTCTCTGTACAAAATCAATAAAATATATTAAAAAAAAAAAAAAAGTCCCAATTTTTGGAATTGAACTTGGGACCCTTCAGGCCAAAGGCCGGCGCTTATCCACTGAGCCACCCTGGCCAGGGCAGCGAGCTTCTTTTTGTGGCGATCCGTGGCATCTGGCCAATAGAGTAGAAATCTGATGAAAGCTATGGGAACCTCTCCTTCACAAAATATCAATATTCAGCTAACATTTTTTTAAAATATGTATTTTTATTGATCTTTTACAGAGAGAAAGAGAGAGGGATAGAGAGTTAGAAACATTGACGAGAGAGAGAGAGAGAGAGAGAGAGAGAGAAAGAGAGAGAGAGAGAGGGAGAAAGAGAGGGAGAGAAACACCGATCAGCTGCCTCCTGCACACACTCTTTTGGGAATGTGCCCACAAACAAGGTACATGCCCTTGACCAGGATTGAATCTGGGACCTTCCAGTCTGCAGGCCTACGCCCTATCCACTGAGCCAAACCAGTCCCGGCTCAGCTAACATTTTATCAAGTACTGACTGTGTGCTTGGCTCTGGTTTCTTTGCATCCATTAACTCATCGTACGCACATGACAACCCCATGAAGTGGGTACTGCTATTGCCCCGTTTTACAGAGGAGGAGCTGAGGCTGTGGCCCCGCTGGGGGCGGCCTCGGTCCCACCCGCACGCTGTCCCCTCCCCAGGTCTTCGCCTTCCTGGGCTTCCTGACCAGCGCCCTGTGGATCAACGTGGCCGCCACGGAGGTGGTGAACATCCTGCGGGCGCTGGGCATGGTCTTCCGGCTGAGCAACACCGTGCTGGGCCTCACGCTGCTGGCCTGGGGGAACAGTATCGGAGGTGACTGGGCCTGGGGGGCGGGGGGGCGGGGTGAGCACACATCCCTGCCCTTTGCTCCCCCAGCCACAATGGCAGTGGGCAGGGATGCCCAGGGCACTTCCTTCAGTGTGTGCTTAGTGCCACTGACATTTTTATTATTTATTTTTAAATACATTTTTATTGATGAGAGAGAGAGAGAGAAACATCAATGAGAGAGAACCATCCATCAGCTGCCTCCTGCACAGCACCTACTGGGGATGAGCCCACAACCTGGGCATGTGCTCTGACTGGGCATTGAACCAGCAACCTCTTGGTATGTGGTACGACGCTCAACCAGCTGAACCACAGCGGCCACGGCCCCCTGACCTTTTGGAGTGACCATCACTGGGCATCGGGAGGCCCTGAACCAGGAGAGTCTGTAGAACCCAGGGCTGCTCCCCTCTCGTGCATGGAGGCTTGTGGTTCCCCAGAGTCAGGCAGGGTGTGTGCCAGGGTGTGTGGCCTGTGTAGGTGTTCGCACATGCATACACACACACACACACACACACACACAGTCCTCTAGCTGCAGCCGCCCAGTCGGATGCACAACAGCTGGCCAGGTTGTGACCAAAGAAGGTGTTGGGGGGCTGAAATCTCCTCTCACTCACCTTTTCCTAATTTGCATGGAGACGCCTAATTTGCATGGAGATACCTAATTTGCATGGAGATGCCTGATTTGCTTGGAGATATCTAATTTGCATGGAGATACCGAATATGCTAGCAGCAGGTGGGACTCAGGTGGAAATCAGTGGTTGCATGTCACACCCACAAAGCTGCCTCTGCTGAGAAGAGGGGGGGAAGGACCGCAGGGTCGAACTGTGTCTCACGGGCCACTGTGGCCCTCAGAGCAGGTCGGCGGGTGCCAGCCCGGGGGGCATGTGTCCGTGTCTGCCGGCTGAAGGACTGTGGTGAGAAGGAAGGAGGGAGGGGCCAGGAGGGCCGGGGCAGCACTCACCACGCTTCTCTCGTTTCCATGCAGACGTCTTCTCCGACTTCACGCTGGCCCGCCAGGGCTACCCCCGGATGGCGTTCTCCGCCTGCTTCGGTGGCATCATCTTCAGTATCCTTCACGGGGCCGAGCCTCCGCGCGGGCGCACGCCCACCCTCGGGGCTGTAACCCCAGGCGCCCTTCCGTTCCCGCTGAGCCCGGCTCTGACCTCTCAGGCTGGGGTGGGAAGGGGGATGCCCTGCCTGAGCAGTCCCTAGAGGTGGCCTTGACCCGTGCTCCGTCCACAGCCCCCCAGCGGCCCATGGGCGGTCACTCCGCTTGGCCTGGCCTCAGTTTCCCCCCCTGCCGCGTGCCCACCGGGTGCCAAGCATCTCTGCCACTCGTTCCGTCCTCAGGGATCGTGTGCAAATGCTCGCTGGACACCCGCCCTCAAGAGGCGCTCACCCTGGCTGAGGTCTCTCGGGCGGGGTGTTGGGGGCCGGGGCGGGGGGTGTAGATCATAGAGAAAGCCCATGGCTGTGTGGCAGGTCATCGGTGGTCCCAGCACCTTTCCTGAGCCAGGCTGCAGACATGCTGGTGGGCGTGGGCCTGGGCTGCCTGCTGCAGATCTCCCGGGGCCACGCGGAGGTGAAGGTGAGTGGCCAGACCCTCTGCAGCGGACCTCCTTACCATGCCCCCTCCTTCTCCTCCTCTCCCTCCTCCTCCTCCTCTTCCTCCCCCATTCCCCCTGCGGTCCTCAGACCTGAGCACTTCACACTTCCCGGGAGAGGACTAGGTTAAACCCGTGACCAGTCTGACGGGTAGAATCTCTTTAAAATGTTCTGCGTGTGGGGTCGGAGGAGCTGCATTCCTTCCAGATTCGCGGAGTGATAAGGTGTAGCTTGCGAGGGAAGGGGCAGGGGGTCCCTGCATTCAGCTGTCGGTCCCACCCGTTAGGTCTCTCGCTCTGTGACTTTGGATAAGTTAAGGCATCTCTGAGCCTCCGCTTCCTCACCTGTGAAATGGGGTTGATGATGCCACCCACCACACCCTCTCCCCTCACTTCCTGGATGAGCACCCATGGGGTGAGGGCCGGGCTGAGCACAGCGTTGTCCACACGGGGTGGATGGGCCAGGAGACAGAGGGGAGGTGCCATCGGTTGGAGACAGCCCTAGGATGGGGAGCCAGCGGATTTGGAGAAGGTTCTGAAACACACTGAGGGTCAAAGGTCTCACCCTTGGAGAGGATCCGAGAATTCCCCGAGGGGCTGCGAGAGACCCCCTGACGCGGGCATGCCAGGGGCGGCCGGCGGCTGCATGTCAGAGGGAGCTCCCTGCGGCTGGTGAGGGCAGGACGCTTGAGGGACTCAGGTCTAAGGTAAGGTGACCAGATGTCCTGATGTTTAACAATTTGTCCCACGTCCCACTGCGTTTTAAAAAGTCCCGATTTTTTGGAGAAAAAATCGGGACTTTTTTAAAACGCAGCAGGACGCGGGACAGATTGTTAAACATCGGGACTGTCCCGCCAAAAGCGGGATGCCTGGTCACCTTAATCTAAGGTGGAACATTCAGATACTGCTGGCCGAGCAGGCAGGTGATAGAAGCATCTGGGCTGTTCAGCTGGGCCTCAGGGGACCAGGGGGGTCAGGTTTTTCTAAAGGAGAAATCGAGGTTCCTAGGTGAACGTGTGCTGTTTCAAAATACCGGCCTGGCTGCTGTGATCGGCGGCTGAGTGTTAGTCTATGAGCCAGGAGGTCCTATCCAGTGGGGAGGGGATGGGGGGTGAGCAGGAGGCAGCTGATGGGTGATGTTTCTCTCATTGATGTTTCTCTCTCTCTATCCTTCTCTCTTCCTCGCTCTCTAAAATCAATGAAAACATTAAAAACAAACAAACAAACAAAAAAACCCTAAAATGTTGCGCAGGACAAACTGCTAGGGGCAAGGCCACAGGTGGCATCCCTGTCCCAGCACCTCCGCTCCGAAGGCTGGGCGTTAGGAGACCATAGGAGGGTGGGGAGGACGGAGACAGGCGAGGACGTGGCCCCGGGATGGCTTCAGAGCTCAGCGAGTGGGAGCACGGAGAGTGTCTGGAGGCTGAGGCGGGGCATTGGTGGGAGCAGAGGCCCTGCCTTCTCCTGGCTCTGAGTCCCCAAGAGCCTCAGTGGCTGCTGCCCGGCAGGGAGCTGGCAGGAGGGCCGCGCCAGAAGCAGTGGCTGCTCACCCTGCTGGCAGAGCGGCCTTCCTCAAAGGTGAACACACGCCCAGATGTAGCTGGTACTCTTCGTGGCTCTGAAGGTTTTTTTCCTTATGGATGCTCAGGCCGGTGCAGGGAAGGGGGCCTTAGGGCGGCCCTGGCCCTGCTGGGAGAGTGTGTGTGCTCCCACCAGCTGTGTGTGTGCTCCCACCAGCTGTGTGTGTGCTCCCACCGGCTCCGTGTGTGTGCTCCCACCGGCTCCGTGTGTGTGCTCCCACCGGCTCTGTGTGTGTGCTCCCACCAGCTCCATGTGTGTGCTCCCACCGGCTCTGTGTGTGTGCTCCCACCAGCTGTGTGTGTGCTCCCACCGGCTCCGTGTGTGTGCATCCCACCAGCTCCGTGTGTGTGCATCCCACCAGCTCTGTGTGTGTGCTCCCACCAGCTCTGTGTGTGTGCTCCCACCAGCTCCGTGTGTGTGCATCCCACCAGCTCCGTGTGTGTGCTCCCACCGGCTCTGTGTGTGTGCTCCCACCGGCTCTGTATGTGTGCTCCCACCAGCTCCGTGTGTGTGCATCCCACCGGCTCTGTGTGTGTGCTCCCACCGGCTCTGTGTGTGTGCTCCCACCGGTTCTGTGTGTGTGCTCCCACCAGCTCCATGTGTGTGCTCCCACCGGCTTTGTGTGTGTGCTCCCACCAGCTGTGTGTGTGCTCCCACCGGCTCTGTGTGTGTGCTCCCACCAGCTCTGTGTGTGTGCTCCCACCAGCTCTGTGTGTGTGCTCCCACCAGCTGTGTGTGTGCTCCCACCAGCTCTGTGTGTGTGCTCCCTCCAGCTCCGTGTGTGTGCATCCCACCAGCTCTGTGTGTGTGCTCCCACCAGCTCTGTGTATAGAAACTGCCCCTCTGTTCATTGAGACGCCAGGCAGGCTCCTGGGGGGGCTCTCTGGGAAGGACGCCCGCAGAGGGAGCACTGGTGGGTGGAAAATGCCGGGGGCCTGCCCTGGCCGGTGCGACTCAGTGGACCAAAGGGTCTCTCTCAGGCTCCATCCTGGTCAGGGACACGGACCTCGGTTGCAGGTTTCCCCAGCCTTGGTGGGGGCTGTGCGGGAGGCAACCAGTCGATGTTTCTCTCTCTCTCTCTCTCTCTCTCTCTCTCTCTCTCTCTCTCTCTCTCTCTCTCTCTCTTTTTTCTCTCTCTCTCTCTCCCTCCTCCTCTCTCTGCTCCCTCCCTTCCATTTCTCTCCTCTCTTCCTTCCACTATCTCTAGTAATCAATGGAAGGAATATTCTCGGGTGAGGATTGAAAAGTAATGAAATTGGGGGGAAAACAAAACACAGGTTGCCCATAACCGCTCACTGCTGTACAAGCCCCGCTCTCAGATCTGACGCACAGTCTGTGTGTCTGTGCCCCCCCGCCTGTGTGCCCCCGCCTGAGTGCACATGTGTGTGTGTCCCTGTGGGGGGCAGGACAGGTACGGGCTAAGAGCTGGGACTTCCACGAGGGCTCTGTCGCTCACTGATGACTCAGTCTCCTCCCCTGTGGCCGGGACATGCCCCTCGGGGGTGGTTGTGAAGATGGAAGCTGAGTGAGCGTTTAACCCTCGGCCTGTGTCAGACACACGCTAAGTGCAGGAAGAAGAGAAGGGAGGTGGGGGCAGTCTCACTTCCTTTTCTGGACTGCTCAGCGTCACATGGTGTAGACCCAGCGTATCGCACCCGTGCCCTAGGGCCGCCCTAATGGATGAGCAAACTGTTCAGACGGCGGGAGCGCTCCTGGTCTCTGACCCGCGGGGTCACAGCCAACCTGGGCTCAGCAGCCTCGGCCATTGGTTCAGGCTGGGAAAGAATTCAGAGCCAAGACCCAAACCGTAAGAGATCATTTCCTCGGTAAGTCAGGGACAGGAGGGATCCCAGAATACATGGGCTTAGGCCCGGCCTGCGTGGCTCAGTGGTTGAGTGTCGTTCCATGAACCAGGAGGTAGGTCACAGCTCGATGCCTGGTCAGGACACGTGCCCGGGTTGCGGGCTTAATCCCTAGCAGGGGGCCTGCTGGAGGCAGCTGATCAATGATTCTCATCATTGATGTTTCTCTCTCTCTCTCTCTCTCCACCTCTCCCTTCCTCTCTAAAATCAATAAAAGTTTTTGTTGTTTTTTTTTTTAAAGGAATTAGGCTTAGGAAGCAGGTTATAGAGGTAAAGGAAGGGCCCTTAAGCTCGGGAGTGAGGAGGTTAAAGGTAACACACCTGGTAGGGAGGCGGGAGGAGGAGGAGGAAGAGGAAGGGGTGGGAAAAAGGGAAGGCGCAGGCGCGCTTCCTGGTGGGAATGGGGGAGCGAGAGCCGGAGAGCACACGGGTCTTCCGTCCTAGGGGGATTTTTTTGTTTTTTAATCCTCACCAGAGGACATTTTTTTTTTCCCAATTGATGTTTTAAAGAAGGGGGGGAGGGGGAAGAGACCCAGAGAAATGATGTGAGAGAGACACATCGACCTGTTGCCTCCCACATGCCTCCCAGCCTGGAGCCTGGGATCAAACCTGCAACCAAGGTACGTGCCCTTGACCGAAATGGAACCTGGGACCCTGGAGCCCTAGGTGAACGCTCTAACCACTGAGCAAAGGCAGGTAGGGCCACCCCGAGGGTTTGAAAGGTGGCAATTTTAGGGGAGATCGTAGCATGTCCAGCAGCTTTCCAGGGGTGCCCTTTCGGGGTCGCTGTCTGCTGATTGCGTGGCATGCACAGGGCAGGGTCATTATTGCCGGCAGCTGGGCCTGGCGTCAGCCTCAGCCGGGGCTGGTTGGGTGCTGATCTGGGCCTGTAGCTGACCTACAGCTGAGGCCTGAGTGTTATCTCCACGGAGGAAGGTCCGGGGGCCTGGTCTGAACCGCGTGACCAGCACGGCCTGCACGGGCCAGCACTGGCCAGGGGAGGAATGTCCCCCTGGGGCAGGTCCCACCCTACAACTGATGGTCCGTTGCTAGACACCTGGGCGTTCCACACAGTGGCCTTCTGTACCCGGCCCGTTGTCCTTGCTCTGCTCACGTCTGACTGCCTCCCACAAAACTATAATAGACGGCTTCAAACATTGCCGTCCGGGTGGTGCAAGCCGTCCACGGGGCAGGCCTTCGCTGGCCCCTAGCAAGGGGCTCTCAGGCATCGGTTGGACTGACTGACGGGTGTGGTAGTGACCGGGCCTCTCTCCCTCGTCCCGCCCCCTCTGCAGCTGGAGCCGGAAGGACTGTTGGTGTGGGTCCTGGCGGGCGCCCTGGGCCTCAGCCTCGTCTGTTCGCTGGTGGCGGTCCCGCTGCAGTGCTTCCAGCTGAGCAAGACCTACGGCTGCTGCCTGCTCCTCTTCTACGTGAGCTTCCTCCTGGTGGCCCTGCTCACCGAATTTGGGGTGATTCGCTTGAAAAGTGTGTGAGGGAAGCTGCGCGCCGAGTCCACCTGGTGGCCGGGAGGTGTCACTGCAGGCGGCGAGCTGGAAGATGGAGGATGATGCTGGAGACCCAGGCGCCTTGGGTCGAGCCCGCGTGGGCATGCGTGACGTGGTGTGGCGAGAGTGAGGTGTGGGCTGGATGTGGGGTCGCTCGCTTTTCTAGAGGTTCCCAGGCACTGCTGAGTGCAGGGAGGACGCTGAGCCTCCTATCTGGGGCTTTGGAGGCTGGCCTCGCCTGGATGGACAGCCCCAGGCAGAAGGAAGGAGACTTCCTTGGATTATGTGGAGCCTCTGGAAGGCTGGGGTGTAGGGGGTGACTGGGTGCCATCCAGGCTGGTGTTGGAAGGACTGGGACGTGTTCAGGGCTGGAGGCAACTAAGAGGCCAAGGCCCAGCCCCACCCCACGGGTGTCCCTGCCCCCACGGGTGTCCCTGCCGCCCGCCCGCCTGCATCTTCTCAGGGCTTATGCTGCCAAAGCCAGGCTTAGGGGCTCAGGGTGGTGGGACCTGCGGACAGGGTGCCAGGCCGTCGTGGGCCGAATCCTAGAGCTGCACCGTCTGACAGAATCGGAATGCGACACGTACCTCATTTGAAATTTTTTAGTCACCATGTTAATAAAGCCCAAAGCAACAGGTGCAAATTCCACAGTGATGTGTCTTACTGAACCCAAAGGCTCCCAGCTATCTGCCCACAGCTGTCACGCTGACGGTACAGCTCTAGCCCCCACCGCCGGGCCCACCTGCCGGCTGAAGACAAAATGCATGTCCTACACCTTGTTTTTTCGGCTGCAAAACCGGGGGGAACCTGTGCCTTGTGCCTACCTCAGGGGGAGCCTGGGCTGGGGTCCCAGTGCCCCCGCACCCCCTCCTACCCCCAGCACCTTCTGCCGTCAGTGCCCTGCTTCGGTGAGCAACTGAAGAACTTAACTTGCCCATTGACTCATGATGGGGTTTCTTTTTTTCCAGCAAAAAGTTATTACATATTTCAGGCGTCCAGTTCCAGGGCTGAAGGTGGAAGGTCCTTGGGCCTAATGCATGGGCTTTGGGGCACATGTGGGGGTGGGGCTGCCTGGGGTCGGGAAGGGGACCTCCCTGCACGCACCCCCCGCCCCATGATACCAGAATGTGAGGAGGCGGCAGCCACACGTACAAAGCAGAGGCGCTTTTATTAATGTGCCAGAAGCCCGGAGACGCCGAGGGCTTTCCCGGTAACAAATCACCAACGTACAAAACCACACAGGGCCGTTCCTGCGATCCGTACAAAATGATTGTCGCGTGACGTGGAGTAAGGCTTGGGGCGGGGGGGAAGGAGGGGGTGAGGAGGGGCCGTGACGGTCAGACAGGCTGCTCTGACCCAGGGCAGCTCAGTCTCGGCGTGGTTGCTCAGCTGAGTGGGGAGGGAGGGCGCCTGGGCTGCGTGATGTCCCGGGTCCCGCAGAGCTCACAGCCCTGGGCCACCTGCTCCCTGCACCGTGTGCGGGTGTGAGGACTGGCCTGACCAGGCCGTAGGAGACCCTGGGCACAGCTGTCCTCGGCCTCAGGGACTGCACTAAGCAGGTTAGTGCAGGTCTAGACTGGACCCCGCCCTCCCGTGCCGGCCCTCACTGTGGGCCTCAGGGCCCCGGTGCCCCTCCCAGGTCCTCAGCCCCTGCGGGCAGAGGAAGGGCTAGGATGGGGCCGAGGCTCAGGAGGAGCCCTCCTTCCGAAATGCCATTTCAGTACAAAAGCTACAAGGCACCCGACTGTGCAAATAATTTCCTCTCGGGAGGTGGAGAGCTTCTGGCCTGAGCCGGGTGCCCAGCGCCCAGCTGCCCGATGGCCCCCGACAGAGACCGCCAGCCTCCTGCCGCCTGTGGGAGTCTGCCTTCCTGGTGTCCCCAAAGGGCTGTGCTTGAATGAAAATGCCCACTCCTCTCCCCCTGAGGGGCAGAGCTGTGTAGCGTGGGTTCTGGGGATCACCCTTGGAGAGGGTGAGGGGTGCTGGGTGCTGTACCCGGGGTCAGGCCTGCTCTGCAGGGAACCTCAGCCCACCCACCCTCCTGAGCCCCAGGAGGCTGTGGAGGCAGCTGAGAGCAGGGGCAACCCCTGCCCCCCTCTGACCCTGCTGTGCCCTCACTGGGGCTGCCAACCCCAACAGCCTGCTCTGGATTCTAGCACCGATCCCACCCCACCCACACTGACCTCGGACAGCTCCCCAGGTACCAGGGGGACTCGGGGAGCTGTGGGTTCACTCGGACCCGCTTCGGTACCACCCACTCCTCCCAGTGAGGCCTGAACCTAACGCGCGGCGTGAAGGAATGTGCAGTCTTGAGCAGAATCCTGAGGAACCCGCACAGCTTTCTGCCTGGACAGCACAGTCACAGGCAGGGGGAGGGGCTTAGTGGCGAAAGCCGCTGCAGGAATGGGTCTGGGTGTAGCCATCAGCCTCACCCTTGCTTCTCCCTCTCCCCCTGCCCCCCGCCCCCCTTGGTGCTGGGCCTGGATTCCAACCGAGGCTGTTAGAGGATTTTCAGCAACAAGAGCTGAAACCTAGCCAAAAGGGGGGGTGGGACAGAAGGCTTAGAGCCAGGCGCTCACCAGCTGAGGCCTGACCACGTGGTCTAGTCACACCCCATTCCACTTCCCATTAGGTCGTAGGCACAGGACCCGTGACATGATCATACAGAGAGATACGAATCCGAGTATTTCTGTCCCGTAAGTGGTTTTGTCCCTAAAGCAAGACAGAAACCCGTGCCGTGGCCGTGGAGGAAGTGAGGGGGAAGCTGTCAGCTGGGACGGGGCCTGGAGGCGGCAGGAAGGCGTGGGTGTGAGTGTGGCCTGGGGAGGCGGAGGGCCTGCCCGCGGAGACGGCAGAGTCCGTCCCAGCGCTTTCTGCCTGGCCGCGCCCGGAGCAAACTGACTCCGGGAGTTAAGGAAGACAGGGCCAGGAGGTTACTTACAAACCAAACCCCCACCTGACTGCCCGTCTTCTCCGCTGTCTATAAATAGGTGCATATATGTGGACGTGTGCATAGGTATATATGCACGTTATCCCGATACATCGTAGTAAAATAGTGCTATGTGTTATTGCATAGAGAGATGGCTTCCGGGAAGGAGCGAGCTGGCTTAGGTGATGGTCTGCGAGCGCTGGCGGCTGCCTGGGGGCTGCTGGGTGGCGGGGGCACCACTGCCGTCCTCCTGCTCCTGCTTCCGGGCGTGTTCCTCGTACCACTCCTAGGGCACAGGACAGATGGGGGGGAGGGCGCTCAGTGGCTGCGCCCCTCCCAGCCCGCCCTGCACCTCCAGCCTGACAGGCACCAGGCCGGGCAGTGCGTGGCCTCCAGCCTCTGCCTGTGGGGCTGGGGACCACCCAGAACAGAGGAGGTGAGCTGCCAGCCCCCCACAACGGGGACCAGGGCCTCTCACACCTCCTGCTGTGAAAGCAGTTTGAGGAAAACTAAGCAGCTCCCTGGCCGGCCATTGTCACATTTTCAGGGACAGGGGTAGTCAGGTGATTAAGGAATTACAAAGGCACTGTGTGTTTAGAATCTGAACCACAATATGAAAGCCTAAAACATCGAGATGGCCTAGCTCTATGTCCCCTCATCCTACGGAGGGGAAACTGAGGCTGCAGTGATGGACAGACCCAGGGTCCGGACACCAGAGCTCCCGCTGACCCATGCCCTCGTGCCACCCGGTGCCCTGCAGCCTCCCCGTTTGGGGGCGTGAGCACTGGCAGACTGAGTTCCCACTGTGAGAACGCCAGGAAACGAGGCAGCTGCTGCCAGGGAGACCCTCCCAGAGCCCCGGGACCCCGAGCAGGAGGGCAAACCCAGGCTCCTCCACCGCGGCCCTTGGCCAGCGGCTCTGTCCTGTCTGGGACGCAGTGTGCGGGCCACGTGGTGCCGGGTCAGACGTCTGACTCAGCTCGCAATGTGGGAAAAAGGGGAGCGTTTGTAAAAAAAAAAAACACAAAAAAAAACAAAATTGACCTCTCCCTTCTCTTAAATTAGAAAAAAACTAACAGTAAAAAAACAAACACCCAGAGACCCGCTGGGCACAGCAGGCCTCATTCTGATGGGCGGGGCGGGCGCTCCTACCCGGATCTCCTCCTGGTACATCTTCAGGCTCAGGTCACTCTTGGTCCGGGACCTCCGTCCCAGGAACACCACGGTGCTTTGCTGTGGAGGAGCAGAGGCTGCAGGCCCCCGTGCCGGGCCCGGGCACCCACCACCCGCACAGGCCTTGCCCGCTCCTCTGGCTTTTGCTACGATGCCTCCGAAGTGTCGCCAGACCTCGAGGGGCTGACGGTGGGGGTGGGTGCCCTCCTCCCGGCCAGGTTTCCTGCCCCGAAGGGCCCCAGCCTCACCTCGTTCCTCTCCATCTGGGAGAGGACCTTGAGCAGCCGGGGGACGTCGGCGGCCGCGCCCCGCGCCTCCCGGGACAGCTTGAGGACGGCGAGCAGCTCGTCCTTGGACAGTTCCTTCTCCACGGTGATGCCGCCGTCCACTGCAGCGGGGGAGGGACCTGGGCTCAGAGGCCTCGCCAGCCCTCCTCCTGCCGTCCCTACAGGGTCCTGAGGTCCCTCTCCTGCCCCTCCCTCCCTCCGCTGTGGGTGTGAGGATCAGTGGGCAGGCCAGCAGCTCACAGGGGACAGGGTTTCGGAGGCAGCCTCCAAGCCAAAAGGAAAGGGTCAGCCTGGCCAGTGTGGCTCAGTGGTTGAGCACGGACCAGGGACCACAAGGTCCCTGATGCAATTCCCAGTGAGGGCACATGCCCAGTGTGCAGGAGGCAGCAGAGCGATGTTTCTCTCTCATTGATGTTTCTCTCTCTCTCTCTCTCTCCCCCTTTCTCCCTAAAAATCTATTTTAAAATGACATGTTGTAAAAAAGGGTCAGACAGCCTGATAGGTAGACTTGGAAACAAGGAGATACAGGTTTGTGGCCATTTTGAGGGAGGAGAGTCTGGAAAGGATGGGGGTCAGATGCAGAGAGCTGTGCCCCTGGG